AGTTACAATAGCATTTAACAATTTTAACACATTTGGTAAAAGTACTGTTTCATAAAACCAAAAACAAAAATGATTATTGTTGATGAAAAATTTTTATATCAATAAAAATTTATAAACAATTTTGATTTATTCAAAATCATAAAAAAAGTAAATTTCAATTACAAATTCTCAATTAAATACAAAAAAAAATTTTTTTATTTAAAAAAAAATCGATCTTAATTCATTGAATATTTATTTAAAGTAAAAAATCTACCAAGGTCACAAAAATTTTTTAAAAATTTCGCTTTTTCTCCACAACTCATATTCTTAATTTCATAAACAAATAAATTAAACTTCCTAACCAAAATAAGCTGTTAAATGAATTTTATTTTTTTTTTTTTTTTTTCATCAATACAACTCGCGTAAAAAAAAATAAAGTGCGGAAATTAATTTCTCGATACTTATTGCTATAACTCAAAAACTAAGAGGAAGAGAAAGAAGACCGGTCTGACAACGGATGTCCGAAGCCGCAAACTTGACCCACATTCTTCGGACGGTGTGGTTGACCTACTATTTATTTTTATTATCATTATTATTATATGTATTTATATTGTAAGTTGTAACTACACCTTACTTCTTACTTCTCATTCTCATATTAGTTCTTGCGTTCAGCGAACCAACTTATAACTTGGCTTACAGATCTTGTCGCTGACCATAAGTGTTTTATCCATTAGATTGTGCATTTTAGTCACTAATAGTTATCGTTGTAGCCGAAGCTAGGCAATTTATATCAACCGAATCTGATTACCACCCACCAAATAAATTCTCAGCACGAACGCGGAACAGGTCACACGCAACTTACGTTTTTACAATCGCTTTAGAAATTTTAATACATCACAATTTTTATCCAACTCTCATATAATACTTAAATACTTTACCTCAATATTTATATATTAATTTTGTTGATATTATACAAACATGAGCGTGCTTTCATCTTTCATCTCTACTCGGCATTAAAGATGCAAAGTACCTTGACATTGAGCGCCTATCAAGGAAAATAAAATGAAAACTGGATCAACCGGATCTTTTAACAAAACTTTCGACGATAAACATGAAACATTTTTCATTTATTATTTATGAATAAAAAACAGAAACAAATAAATCCGTCAATTACCACCTACCGAGCAATCCAATCCAACGATTATTATTACTCGGTATATGGGTACATATTTTATTTATTAAATGACGTTCTAAGTCATGGCCAATCATATCAGGAAATACTGTCAATGTCGGATACGATGCGACGTTCATGTCTGACTAGACATAATAGAAGAGTCTTTACTTTAAAAGTAAATAAAAAATATATAATGTAATGATGATAATACAAGTAACAAGTTAAAGATTGACACGGCCTTTACTTTCACCGTCGAACAAGGTCTAGGCCGTTTATACCTTTTTTGTATTTTTTTTTTTTTTTTTTTTTTTTTTTTTTATTGAAGGCCCGTTTGTTATAGATTTTTATTGTTTATAGCTTTTTAGTTTTTTTAGAATTATAGATGACAGTAATAAGGTGCAAAAATTTAATTATACACTGAAAAAAAAATTCTTGACGTAAATTTTCTTGGCTCAAGAAAATATTATGGAAGATTTCTTGAAAATTTCTTGAATTAAGTCAAAGTTTTTTGAGCCAAGAAAATTTCTTCTTGCTCCAAAATAACTTTTGTCTTACTTAAAATTTTCTTGGTGCAAGAAGTTGTTTTTTTCTGTGTAGAAATATTAGTATCTATGCTAAGAGTAATAATAATGATTATAATATTTGCAGTCATTACATTATATGACTATCGAAAATTAAAAATTATGAATAGAAAAATTTTTTGATTGGTTTTCTTATATTTTTAATTAACAGTACAATTAATTTGAATTTTTTCTAAAATAAATTTTAAAAAATATTTTCACCATAAAATAAATTATCGAGAAAATTTTTTTCATTCTTTTATTTAGATGATAATTTTTAATTTTATTAATAATAATAATAATAATAATAATAATAATAATAATAATAATATAATAATCAAGTTGAATTAAGAATAAGAATGAGAATGAAAATAAGTTCTCACGTTGACGTACGTAACATGACAAAATAATAAAAAAAAAATGTATGAGAAATTTATACATTTACAACAATTATCTCATGCGAAAAATAATAAAAAAGTATCTCTTCACTTTCTCCGTTTGCCGTTATAAAAATTTAAGGAAATGTGATTCGGTGGCATTTATATGTTTATGCTAATGATTTTAGTAATTGTATATTATTTTTTTTTTATTTAGACTTCCGAGGAAATTAATTATGCTTTTGAGTTATGAGACAGTGGTAAAATGAGTTAACTGTAAATGTTTATTTATAAGGTATTTTTTCTTTTTTGTAAAAAACCTGTAAATTTATTCTGCATGTTTCTTCGGGAAGAAACATTTTTTTTTTAACTTTTTAAGTTTTAACTGTGAAAAGTTTTAGTAGGTAAAAGAAGGAGGAAACTATGTGACCGCAATATGGATGAATTAAAGTATGAGAAAATTGGTGTCATTGGAAAATATTTGGGAAGAATGTTTGGAATTCAAAGCATTGATAGTTGGAAGTATTAAATAAGTATTTAGTAAAACAATAGGATGAGATTTTAATCAATTTTTATTTATCACGAATATAACAATGACTCTTGAATTTATTAAATTTATTATTTTTATTTTTATTTTCAATAAGTACGCAAATTTATTCAACAATAAAGCGCAACCTTTAACAGAACATCGTTAGTATTATAAATATCCACAATATTTTAAAATTCAATAATTCGATTCTCTTGTAACCAACTTATACAATAACATATATAATTATAAATTGTTTTTTTCCTATCAGTCGAAATATTCAAACGAAGATTCGTGCACGTTTTTATTTTCAACAAGTGCGCTTCGTTTTATTTCAATTTATTATTTACAGATTAAATACAAATGAAATAGAGTCACTATTTGAACCACAGATTGCTTCAAAATTTTTAGCTATTTTTTTTAATTATTCATTATTTTAATAAAAGAGTTTTGAAAGCTTTTAGTGCGAGATTTTTAATCGGACCGACTTAATCGCTCATGTTATAATTTGTCATTCACCATTTATTTTATTACTTTATTTATTTCTGTCTAATTTCTTCTTCTGGCTCCACAAAATTTAAATTTAAAAAAACTCTTTAATATTTCACAATAAAAAATATATTTAATTACTTTTCTTAGTTGATTCATTTCTTTTATCATTTTTTGCGCGCATGATTATGTGTTAATGTGTACTTTAATTTTGTCAATATAGTGATTATTAATCGAAATATATTTTAAATATATTTATATGTATAAATTATGTAATGTAATTGTAATGATCCAATAACGGAAGAACTTATTGAAGACTTTAAAATTTGTCAGAAGATAGTTTAAAAGAGATAGAAAAAATTGTATACACTAAAATATTCAATTTACTTTATTAGGTATTTTTTAAAATTAATTAAGTAATTAATTAATACTAACTGGTAGACAAATACAAAACAGAGAGTAGAAAAATACATAGAAAAAAGACTATTATCTGACTATAATATCAATGTATAATACTCATTAATACAATTTCTGTTTTAATTCACAAAAAAAAAAAAGTCTAATTACTCAATCAACTACTCTCAAATGAAAATAAATGCGTGTAAGTGTCAAGTGTATGAGTTTTTATTGAAAAACACTGAATTATGAATGAAGCACTTAAATAGGTTCGTTGATAAAAAAATTTATGATAGTTCGTTATTTTATTTATTGATTTAAATATTTATAATTAATTAGACTGTTTGATAAAGAGAAGTTTGAAGAAGCTCGACTAATTTCGTCGAGATAAATATTTTTATTTTTCCATATAAAATTTTTTACTTTTATTTATTTATTTTGGTTTGTTTTGCGTCTTAGCCAGTCCCGGTGCTGGGTATCGATATATTTTTTATTCAATTATTTTAATTTATTTATTTATTATATAATTATCAATAATTCTCAAATCGTATCTTCCAAAATTACAATCAATTCTTAAACTAAAAAATAAACATTCCTTTTTTCACACCAATCTTTCTGCTTTCTCAAATTAAAATAATTTTTTTTTTATAAAATTTAAAAAATTCTCACAGTTATAAATGAATCAATGTAAAAATATTAATCTTGAAAAATTCATCAAATAAATAAAATAAAAAACAAAATACATCTTCTATACGACTTAAGAATTATTAACAATATTAATTGATTAAAAATCACATAGGTATAAACAACGCGTGTTTAAAAATTGCATATCCTAAATGACATCGATGGACGCAATTATTGACAGTCTTAATTATTAACTATTCATTTACTTATAACCCTTTTCATATCGTACAATAATTTGTTACTCAACCGACTGTCATTGTAATAATAATAATCATATGAACAATAATAATATTAATAATCCACATCAACAATTTATCAATTACTAAATATATCACTCCTATAAACCCTATAGAAAAAAAAAATTCCCAATAAATAAATAATTAAACTAGCCGCATAAAAGCGACCGTCTTCGTCGATCGAGAATTAAATTAGCTATTTAATAAATATCTCTAAAATATTATAACTAATAACTAACTAACTGACTGACTAACTAACTAACAGCACAATCAATACCTCCCTCTTGTCCCATCACAGATTTAAAGACTTTCTGCATTTTATCTCACTCTTACTTACTAATAATTATTTGAAACATTGACTAGAAAAAAAAATTTCCGTCAACACCAATCAATAAATCACCTGTCTTATCCTTAATTCATAAATATTCATGACAATAATTATCAGTCTTTATCTTTTGAATCTGTTGAGTTTTTACGACGATACTGATAAGACAACAATTTATTACCACGTGTTAGAACTGATCTAAGGATGTTTGTAGTCCGCGTTCCCGCGACATCCGATGGCCGCGGGGCATTTCGTTACGCAGCTTTGTTATGTCTTTTTCTTTGTTCTCTTCTTGACGTTGCATTACTGCTGGGACTTGATGTTGACGCTTTTTCACAATCTGCTGTTGGCATTGGTTTTAACTCTCTGAAAATTATTTTCAAAATTAACTCGAAAATAGCTTAATTTAACATAATTCAAAAAAAATGATTTTGTTAAACAAACAAAAAATAGAGATTGAAGAAAAATATATAGTAGCAACTATTTTCATTATAGTTATTTTAACAAAATAATTTATTTAGTTCAACAACAAAATTTGTAAGACCAACTAACAAATTAATGTTACTGCAACAAAATATTTTTTTTTAAATAAAAAAAAATGTTTGTTATCCCTTTGAAAGAATTTAATTGGTTCAACAAACCAATTTGTCAATTTAGCTAAATTGTTTTGTTGAACTAAATAAAGGGTTCTGCTACAATAACAAAACTGTTTTTTTTTTTTTTTTTTTTTAATATAACATATAAATCAAATTAGTTATTACACAACTTATGTTTTGTTATCATAACATATGATTTTTTATAACTGTGCTACCATAATAATTTGTAATCATAACTTGTCTTATACTGTCCTAACAAAAAATTTCTTTCAGAATGGAATTCAAAATTGAACTTGATAAAAAATTGGAATTTTTTAAATTTCTTGTCTAGTTCAATTACAAATTCTAAAGTTGTTGAACCGAGCAACATTTCTCAAAATAAAAAAAATTTCTATTAAAATTATAAGAACGGACATTAAAAATCTCATTTCCGTAAGTCGTAATATAATTTAATGATATTAATTTTTTGTATTGAAAAATTTACCTGTAATTAAGGAGATCTTCATCATCAGGCAATCTAGAAATAAGATCCAGGATCTCATTGTTTGGAATCGAGTGGGGCCTCAGAAGTTTCCTGAAGAACTTATTGACTCCCCAGGCCAAAATTAAGTAACGTATGGGCACCAAATACAACACAATGCTACCAAGAACAGTTAGGATCATCGCCAGGTAACTCAGGTAAGGTACGGTGAAGTTGAAGAGATTTTTAACTCGCTCACAGAGACTCGCGATATAACCAATTGAGTTTTGAACTGTCTGAGTCACTTCTTGAATTGCTTGCAATCGCTCTTTTAGACTTTTCTTCTCTTCCTGTAAGATTAATACGAAAATTAATAAACAATTATTTATTATTATCTGTAACTATAAATACTTATATCTAAACTTATGACACTCATCAATCTCAAATTTATAATTATCGTTATTAGTTAACATAAAATGTGAATTATTGCTCGGTAAATCAACCAGCAGAAGATTGATACCGTACTTCAAGGTATAATAACATTAAATCACCGATTTAACAAGCTTGTAAAGATAGCGTTATTACGAAATAAAAATAAAAGTTAAACGTCTGTCTGCAATTTTATGTAATAACCTATTACATCAAACATTTTTCGCTTTCTCCCAATTTTGACAATGCCGTAAAAATGCGATAAAGATTTGACATTAATGCAAATACGTAAAACTTTCTGTAAGAAACTATTTTAAATTCTGAATTTATTCTGTCGAATTGTTTGCTATTGTTTACTATTCTTAAAACGTTGAAATAATAACAAAAATAAATACATTAATTTTAATGCTACATTCTTACGATTATGAAGCGATAATATTCCTATTAGTACAATGATGAAATCAAAATTACAATGTATTTTGGAACATACATGTATATATATTAAAACAACACATAAATTTAATTATAAGAACGAAATTGTATAAATCATATCTGCTACATTTGTACTTTTACACGCACTTAAAAGGCCAAAAAATTGCTTTTTTTGATCATTTTTTCTGAAGAGAATTTTTAATGGATTAATATGAAAATGAATATCCTGATAGTAGTAACTTTGAACTTTAATTATTATTAATTTAGTTCTTTTTTTTTTTTTTTTTACAAATAATGATTTTTCTAGCTACTGTAGACGATCTCTACATTTAAAAAAAAAGTAATAAAAATGTTGAGTGACTTTTAAGAGATGAATTTTTGTGTTCAAATATTAAATATACTGAGTCAAATTCTAATCGAGCAAATTAATGCACTAGATATTAATATAAAACGATTGTAATTTTCAGATTGTATTAAATAAATAAAAGTAGTACCTTATCTTTATCATCTTCATCATCATCATCATCGCCTGGAGTAGGCGGACCATCATCAGAATTAAAATCCGAATCATGAGTGATAGAATGAACTTGAAATGAAGATGAAGAACTGGAACTGTTGGTTAACAATGAAACGCAGCAATATTTAAGCATAATCAGCAGTGCTGCGACAGGAATCATATAAGGCTCAAAGTAATAGCACCCGAGGACAAACAGTACAAGTGCAACAATACTCCGCATTTTACTCTCCCATTCCCAGCAGCTCCTATGAAACAAATAGCGGATAAATAATGTAATAATAATAATAATAATAATAATAATAATAATAGTAAAGTTAAAACAGTAAATAGCAGCTTGGTGAGTAATTATAGTCAACTAACAACGTAACCAGAGTTAAGTGGCACAGTTATTATTTAAATACTAACTCTATATTCGTATTTGCCTTTTGTAATCAAATAAACTTACTGGATGTATTTTCCTAAATCAATGAAATACATAATAATAGCCTTGAGTCTCAGTACATTGCGCAAAAAAACTTGTCGCTTGAACTTTATCTCAGGCTCCATGTACTTCTTTTCTTTTGGGTTCAGAGTGCGAATGCATGCTCTCACGACATTCCAAACCACCCGTAGCTCCAGTAAAATTTGTGGAAAATTTCCCTTAGCACGTCCGCGTAATTTTTTATCCTTCAATGCGTACCATCTCTTTTCACCGTTCCGGATTTTCAGTAATGGAATTGCTATTTTGCCCAAAAATTCAACTTTATGATCACGGTCCTCGTCGTACACTGTCACCTCTAATACCGAATTTATGTCTTTGACGTTGCTGAAACATTTTAATAATAGATTATTAATTAATTTATTAAAATATACAATGTTGAACAGTCAGGAATTAAAATTTCAAATCAAGATTTAATCGTCAATCTTTTGATCTAAAATTTGCATGCTTTTAAATTTTAATCCAATAAACAAAAGTTTGATTTTTTATTTGATAATAATAAGAATTATACGCACTTAGAATTTCAAAATTCAATTTTTTTTCAATTTATTCTCCCAATGTACATATATTTAAGTATAAAAACTTCAAACGCTTTTTTCAAGATCGTCTACCGTAGCTAGAAAAATTATTGTTTGTAAAAAAAAGAACTAATAATTCAAGTTCAAAGTAACTACTATCAGTATATAATTTTTCATACTAATCAATTGAAAATTTTCTTCAGAAAAAATTGCTGCCTTGTAAGTGCGTAAACTCCTAAAAATTACTAATGAACTTACAAAGTAAAAATTTTCTGCCAATTGGGTGCCAGAGTTTTGTACTCAGTCTGAGTTTGTAACCGTGAATTGACTAATTCCAGGACACAAAAAGGATCACTTTTTCCTCCTAAGTCAGCGGCAGCAAGCCCTTGTGCTCTGTAGACCTAAAAGAGAAAATTTTTCATTAAAAACGTGGATATTTATTTGAAATAAATTTTAAAAAAGAATAAGTATATTTTTCAATCATTGAGGCCTATAAAAATAAAATTGAAAGTTAATTTTTCAATTTTAAATTACAGGAATTGAAGACAGATAAATAATAAATAGCAAAAGTACTAACTTTAACAGTAAGATGCCCAACATCTCGGGGTCTTTGCAACGAATTCCAGAGGGAATATCTATCTTCGACCCGACCGCGTTCCTGAGGAGTTTCTTCATGGGCAGCAAGATCACTAATAGTTTCGCTGGCAGTCGTACCGCTGATAGTGAGTAATAAAAAAATACTTCCAGCCCCATCTTCCAGTTCTTTCCAAATCCTATGGGTCGTTTCGCGCTCCAATCCCGCTAAGTCAATGGTCGTTCTGCCCATCAAGTCGTCTTGGTGACCCTTGTCTCGGTCCCATACCGTAACCTCCAGTTCCTGACCCAGATAAGGGTCCTCGTACAGATGGAGGTCGAACTGCTCAAGCCACACGGGGTTTACCGTCTTGTTCACGACCTTTGATTTGTATTTTTCAGTTCCCAATCTGAGGAAAAAATTTTTTTTTCTATTATTAAAGATAAATTTGTTTATCAAATATTTTTAATTTATTATCTTCAAGTGGTAGAAGGAGTAGAAATATTGATAAGCACTTATTTATAATTTTAATTGTTTATTTTATATGATAAATACCTAAATTTAACGTAAGGATCCGAAAGGCCGTCGATGTCCATAGGTAATAAACTTTTGGCTTCGACGAGAACAATTGTCACAACAGAACTCCATATTTGTGATTTTAGTCGCCGATTAACGTCTGCTAATCTGTTTGTTCTCTGGAAGTACTGTAAACAAATTTTTTAGTTATTTTTTTATCAATTATTTTTATTCTTATATAAATATTTTAAATGATATCTATAAAAATTTTTTTTAGCAAGTGAATTTCAAAAAAAAATCAAGAGTGTTATGAAATTTAAATTAGCAGCCACCTGACAAATTTTTTATTGAAAAAATCACACATAGAAGATTTAAAAAACTAAAATTAAAAAAAAAAAAAAAAAAAATTCAAAAAATTGTTAAATGTCTGCTAATTTCAGTATCACAATTTTTTCTAATATATTCATCTCTCTGCACACACTCAATTTTCATGTCTATCCATTTCCAGAAATAAAAAAAAATACCCTCGTAACATCCTCAACTTTCTCTTTCCATCCTTCCTTGAGTCTATCAATAAAATCAGGCGTGTGTTTATTTTCTCCACTATGTTTATCATGAATCTCAATAACAGGAACCGGCGTGGATATTATTTTAATGAACTCCTCATGCTCGCCACTATTTTTAAACTCCACATCAAGTTCTCCCTTTTTGCCCTTGGAATCCTCCTTGCCCTCGGACTCCTTAGAAATCAAGGGCAACCTGTCCTTCTTTACATCCTTCTTGCATTTATCCACAATCCAGGTCTCAATCGGCTGCAACCAGGGATGTTTATCTGCCTTCTCCTCTAGAATCCTCTCGACCCTATCCTCTATTATTTTCTCCATAATACTTTCCACCCTTTTTTCCAGCGACTGTTTGAAAGCCTGGACCGACTTTTTATGTCTTTGTACCTCGTCCATGTTCAGTCCGTATCTTCTCTTCCCGACATTTTTTCTTCTCGTCAATTTTTTGTCTTCTTCCTCGTTTCCATTTTTTTCTTCTTCTTCTTCTTCTTCTTCTTCTTCTTCAAGTTTACTTTTGTCGTCAATATTTCTCAAACTAACTTCTTCTTTTTTTTCATCTCTTTCTATGTCGTCGCTCATTGCGTCACTCGTGAAGAAATGTTCATGACTAACTTTGTCATCACACTCTTTTTTGTCATTATTATTTCCCAGTTGGTTCTCCATGTTAATTTCAAACATGCAATGTATTTTTAAAATTACTTATCATTATTTTTTTATTGTAATAAAAACTGACAATTATGTACTTAAAAAAATAAAAAAAGTCTAACTAATAAAATGAAGAGATAAAAATTATTATTACGAGGCCTTACTAGGAATTAAATAAAGCCGCCTTGTATTCGATAATAAACTCAATTGTACATTAACATACACATCATCATTATATGATACACGATATATACTCCGACACGTTATATATATGTTATATGTTACATGTTAAATTAACTGAGTCGTACATTTTTTTCAATTAAAGAGGGGATAGGACTCAATACACATAACAGCATATTTATATACAATACACACATAAATATGATAAATATTGTTTATATATTAAATAGAATTCGATGTAAAGACCGAAAGATAAAAATTACTTTACTCCAAAAAAAATAGGTTGAAGTAATTACTTTATTGACGGCCTTTAGTTATCATTATCACTTGTCACTTTTATTATTACTGTATATTTTATATTGTATATTGAATATTATATATTAGGATCGTAGCGTGCACGTTAATGTTGGTCTGAAACGAATGTGGATAAAGATGTGGATCTACGGCTTACGCTTACGAATACGGGCAAAGTCCTCCCACTCCGAATAAAATGAAAGCAACATACACACGGTGATATTATACGTACGGTACTCAATTGGCTATCGCAACAAGTTAGTCTATTTCCGCGATTCGGCTTTACTTTTTTTTATGTAAGACCATACAAAAAAAACCTTGAATTGCGTCATTAGTCATCCGACATCAGACACCAAGCTAATGAAAAGGAAGGTATTGACGGTGAATGGAAGCGGATCATCGAGTTCTTAGAGTTTAAATGTTAGAAGAGCTCATCTGTATTGAGGTTTTATTATTAAATTGAAAAGTTTGATGAGAATAAATTTTTTTTTAGCTTTGGCTTCGGCCTTTTTATTATTATTTAATATCAGGTATTAAGTGGCTTTGATCGGTATTTTTAGCTCATTAAAGACTTAGGTAATTAAAGTTGTTAGTTTTCAAATATTTGTGAGATTATACGAGTTCTTTGAAATAAATTGGTAATCGGAGTTAACAATTTTAATTTAAAAGTTGGCGTTTTTGGATTTTTTGGTCAATTTTTTAAGGTTTTCTTCTTTAGGATTTTTAGAAAAAAGATTTTTAGAAAAAAGAGTAATAAACAGGAAAGGTTTTAGGAAAGTTGTTGGGAAAAAACTCATGGGAAAAACCCATAAGCCGGAGAGAAAAGGCTCCGGATCTTAAAATGTACAAATATTTATAACTTAATCCTATTACAACTGAAAATTTAAAACTAAATTATTTATTCTATTGAATTTACTACATTTTACAATCTCAAAATCTTAACTGTAGCCTAAATGTCTAACAAAATAATTTTAATTTTTACTAAATTTTTACCTAATTTTTAAATAATTTTAAAGTCAGCGGTCACATGACCGCCACACTTCTTTTTAATAATTATTAATTTTTAGATCAATTATCTAAAAATGTAGTTAAAAAAATTGTGTAAAAATCAGAGACTGATCTTATCAGCCGTTTTTGATAAATCTTGCCGAACGACTTTGAAAAGACAGTTTTGAGAAAAAGGCATTTAAGTTTTCATTCAAATCCAAAATTTTTTTTTAAATTCTTACTGCGTATAATCCTTTACCAAGTCTAATATTTAATAGATCTATAATAAAATAATTTTATCGACTAAACTAAAAAGATACTTGATGCCTCAAATTTTTAATAAAGAAAATTATAAAGGAGAATAATAAAAAACATTCGACATTGGAATATACATTTAAATTTTAAATAAATTTATATTATCATTCAAACGATAATTTTACTCATAAATATTTAAAGATAAAATTATATCTTCATTTAAAAATATAATTTTCAATAGAAAAATTCTACTGTAAGAATTTTTTGTTAACAATTCGGGTCACTTGTCATTTTCATCAAAAGTTCATTTTTCTCATCTTCCATCACATATTTCTTAAATTACGCAGCACTTGAATTTTCTCGACGAAATATCCTCCATAAATAAATATGAAATATCTTTGATACTAACCATTTTTATCAGTACAAAAATGCATTACTACCAGGAAACAAACCCGCGATAACCTAAGCAAAACCGGATGCACATGAAGGAAACAGCCGTGAGTCCTATCTCGTAACTCTTAACCGCGAACACCAGTCTAGTCGATGAATTTAAAAAATAAAACTACCTGCTCTTTTTCTTGCTGGTTTCTCGGCCACAGAGTGACAGTTAAGAATATCTCTCCAAGATGAACTTGCGGTCTTGCTGGGTCTTTCAGCTTCAAAGTAATATCATGAGGTTGTCCTAAATCGAATTGCGTGAGATCCAGCGGCGCCGCGCCCATGAAATCATCTTGTAGACCCCAATCGTAATCGAATACCTTTAATTTGAAAACTCAATTACAACTTTTGTCACCAAACTTCTGATGAATCAATAATGAGACAGTAGTCGTATTGATTATTTTATTTAATAATAATAATTATAATGTAAGTTTAAAAAGTTAAAAAGTACACGTCTCAAATGCTTGTTTTTTTCATCAATCATGTTTTAATTAAAAAAGTTAAAAATAATTTTTTTTTTCAGCTAATTAAAAAAATTTTTTAATTAAATAAATTGGTTTTTATAAATAAGAAGAAATTGAAATTTTCAAATTGACCGATCATGATTATATCCTTACTATATAAACTAACAAACGTCCACATAAAAATGATTACAATTAGATTTTCTTCTCTAACTATCTCTAGTAAAACTCTTGAGTCGTAAAGTTTGTAAGTTGAAGTATCTTCTTTCTAACTAGATGTTTTTTATGGCATATTAGAGCATTCTAACAATAATAGAAATGATACAAGACGAGTCCCATGTTTCTCATCATTTTATCAAAATAAAACATAGTTCTGTTGAGACGTGCAACAATAAAAATAAAAATAATAATCTATATGATTAAGAATATACGGAAAATTTTGTCTCTGGCATATGTACAAGATATAATGTTTTTTCTATTTTTTTTTTTTTTTTTTTTTACAATTTTATATATTTTTTAGTAATAGTAAATTTTTTATGACAAATTTTTGGAAGAGTTTTGAATAGTTTAATAATGCTATAATTTTTCTTTAAATTTATTTCAAAAGTACCCAAACTATGTATATTGTTATAAAAAATTATTGAGCCAAAATTTTTTATTAATAATTTGTAATTCTTGGTAGTTACATAGTAACTACAGTTTACTAGTAATAATAAAAAATAATAATAATATACCTTAATATTAAGAGGTTGAAATGGATCTTCAATAGGCAGTGTGACACTTTCATCCCACACTGGGTTTAATTCACGATGAACTGTCCGAGATTTATGTAACAATCTACCGCAGCATTTTATCTTAACATAAGGATCACTTGCCCCTGTAATAAAGTTCAATACATCCATACATACACATAGAACCGCTAAGTGACATTATTATCTATTAACTGACATTTCATTTCTATACAAAATATATAAGGAACAAAGTTAAGAATAATCTAGGTAAAGTGGGTGTAAACCACTTCTATATCAAAGAAGATGAAGATGAAGATTAAAAAATTGTACCGCATCGATCCATAGCCACGAGATTGGCACCTCGGCGAATGTGCATACGCAGCTGGAAAAATGCATGCTGTCTCAATGCCAATTCGCGTCGCCGTGCTAATTCATTTGACTGAGAACTCTCATACGTCGAAGGAACTGCTGATGAAGATCCTGACATGGGGTCTTGGGGGTCTTGAGCCTCGCGGGATGCTCGGGCTGACAGTTTCGATGAGTTGTCGCTGCATCTTCCCGGACTGTCTTCGAGGGATGATTTTCCACGGGCCAGAGGAGATTCTGCAATTTGTTATTACAATATTTAATTTTTTTTTTTTTTTTTTTTTTAGGTCAACAATAAATTTTAATTTTAAAAGTAAACTGAAAATAAAAAATTTAATAAAAATTCATGAGCCATCAAGGACATAAATGTAATAAAATTTAAATGTTGCATCTTAAAACGCTACTAAAATCGAAAGCAACCATCTCAGCAATGCGGCGCACTAATAATCATAAATCTCTTTTATTCTTCAAGTACCAATTAATTTCCATAATACCAAGCGAGTGTGAGTTTAAGTACTCAAATCAATAATTTATAATTTAAAATGCATATAATAATTCATAATAAAATTAATAATTAATAATTTATAATTTTAGAAAGTACCTGGATGATTGAGTGCAATTTTAGCCGGACTGTGAGTGGTGGAAGAGCTTTTGCTGTGCTCGGAAGAATAATCGGCAGCATAATCAGACTCTACACCAACACTGTGAGTCGAATCGTGAGCATCCTTAGCTTTTTTGCGCTCTTTGCTGCGAGCCCTTGCCCACCGGTTTTTTAGGGTCGCGAAGAAGGTCTGGGTCCTCTGGGCGACCGATGCTACGTGCCGGTGGTGGTGATGGTGTTGCTGGACATGCGAGTGTCTGTGCTGGGAGGGTTGGGCCGAAGACGCCCTGCCCGTCGACAACTCTTCATTATTAACTCGTAATTCTGTGGCACTTCGTGACAACTGCCTATTACCGTTTAAATTTAAATGAGATCTGTCTTCTTCTTGCCCTGTAGTTGGTCAATTACAATTTTATTTGATCGATTAATTATTGCTATTAGTAGTAGTGATAATTATTGTTCAAGTATTTACCTTGTTCACCGTCCTCGGAACCAGAAAGTAATTCCACACTCTTGCTCATTATTTACACGCGTATTAATCGTTGTATTTTTTTTATTTTCTAAATTTTTATTTATTAGCCGGTTTATTTTGTAATTTGTTGATAGTAATTTTAATTTTTTTAAACGTTTTTTGATATAAACAATACGATTTGCTGCGAGGTGCATGGTTTCAATGAATATTCAACTTTAATACTCACCACCATCGACCGATTTAAATTTATATACATTTATTTTTTTCCATTTATTCTCCGGTTTAATCTGGAAATATTAAAATTTTATCAATATTTAATTTTTTTATTTTTTTATTGTTATCAATTTAAAACTGATGTTCAATATTATTACTTTTCAATGAAAAGTGTCAACTGAGTATCATTGAATTATATAAACAATATTGTATAGAAATAAAATTAATCAATTGACAGTCTCATTTCAAAACTGTGTGATAATTCTCACATTTAAAAAAAAAACTTTGCGTACGAAAATAAATATAGATAAATTAACATAATTCTGAAAAATTACTTTAATAAAATTTAATCAATTCAACTGAAACTCAAATAAAATATTTTTTAATTTGATTAACTGTAAATATTTACAAAATAATAATTAACAGTAATAATAATTACTAAATTTTAATTTAAAATAGTGTTTTATCAATTTAAAAGAAATTAAATAACTTGTTAAATATAGAAGTAAAAGTTTTTTAGTCTGATTTACGCCGTAATCATTTTGTCAGTGTAAAGTCAAATATGTAGTTATCCAGGGTATATATGAGGAGGATTATAGAATCAAAGGTTGTCCAACCCTCTTACATGGTCTTACACATGTCATAAGTCATAACATAATTAAAAAGCACACTGACAAAAGTGTCAGATTATAGCCCCTATTTATTTTATATAAAGTAATTTGAAGATTGATTATACTCAATTATTTTTATTAAATTTTTAGGTCACATCAAATTAGAGAGAAATTAATTATTATAATTTTTAAATCATAACAACTTATGTACTTAAAAAAAAAACTTTTTAATAATTGATATTTTGAGAGAAAATTATAAGCGCAAATTATGCGTCTTGGTTATATAGACGTCCTAAAGATCTATAAAAAGACAAGCACAAATTTGACATACTTAAATATTAAAATTAACACAAGAATTTTAAATTCACACAATAATGAAAAACTTTTTAATGAGTGCTAAAGAAAAATAATAAAATAATGAGTCTATAAAGTTAAAATTATAGTAGCGAAAAATTGATTATCGCAATTTTTTAGTAGGCTATTATAATTTTAATATAAACGTGCTTTTATTTTCATACTCTATGATCATACTTATAATTTTATTCATGGCAAAGTTACCGTAAAGACAAGATTTTATGTAAAAATTTCAATATTTAATTATAAGTTAAATCAACTTTGATCCTTTTGAATAAATTCAAAGGATAAGTAAAATGATACTTAGTTACTAAATTTAGTAACATTTAAAAATTGAAATTTCCTTTAAAAACAAGGATAAAAAAAAGGATATTGATTACTTAAATGTGTAAGTGCGACAACAGTGTCAGAGATTTATGACCCTACATAGCAGTGATCGAATCTCACCGAAATTAAATTATCATTATCTTGGGCTTTGTATTTTAATGTACTTGCCAGTATCTTATTTTGGCAAGATTAAAGCTAGAGTGTTTTTTAATAAATAAATAATTTTCTCGAAATTTCGAATTTTAATGAATTATTACAATTAACTTTATTGCTTAAATGTTAATGATGATGATTATTCATCTCTATAATAGATGAGTATTATTGTTTGTGCTACGGCACATGTGAGTATGAATTGTAAAAATTTTTTATAGAGTGGAAAAATACGTAGTCTCATGCTCTACCATCTGAGCTAGCCAGGCCTGAAGAAATAAATGAATAATTAATTAATTATATATTTAATTTTTAAAGTTTTGATTTAGAAATAAAATTGAATGTAAAATCAAAAATTACTGTTTTTCTAAGAATATCCTTTGCTGAGTGTAAAGACAAATATATTCTTCAATTGTGACATTTGAGTATATATAATTAACTTATATCTTGTAACTTGAAGAAGGCTAAATCAACAAGACGTTGCTTGATTGAGTAATCAGTTAATGTCTCGCCCTTATACCCATGAACCTTTAATTTATTAAAAAAATTACTCCTTTGTATAATAACAAAGCCCAGAAGTATAGTACACTTGAGACACTTTGACATTTTTAACAATTCACAAAAGTAATTGCACCCTATTTTTAAATTTAAAATCTCTATTTAGTAGAAATTTAAGTACTTTATACCGACTTTAACTTGAATATTTTATCTATAATTATAAGAAATTACTTACTACACTAATGAAGCTATTTTACTAGAATTAATTTTTCTTCTTCTCATATATATATATATAAATTAAGTTACTTTAGTTGCTATAATTTATTTTTCTCAATAATTAAAGTAAAATAAATAATATTTACAGTTATTAGTAACAACAAAATTTATCAAAATATTGGAAATAAATTTTTTGTTAATCAAAAAAATTTTTGTTATTCAATATTGAAAAAAAAAAAATGTATTGTGAAACATCTGTTACTTTTATAGTAATAATACTGAAGTTAAAACTTGAATTTGTTCAATTTTATTTAAATGAGAAAATTTACAAACAAATATTTTTTTAAATTATTTAATAAGAAATAATTATTATTGTTATTATATAAAAAAAAAAAAGTTATTTTAAAAATTAAATCACTTTAATACTTGACACAAGTTTTTTGATATAAGACTGACATAAAAAAGAAGAAGAAATAAAATAAGCTTATAACTAATAAATCCCAGTGAAATTGAAATAAACTTATTTCTTTTATCTAACCCACTATAACTCGGAAAAAAAGAAAAAAGTCTCTTGATATGACAATCACACAAAACTTACTATTTAGTCCATTACTCAAAAATAGATCAAATACATAAAAGAAAAACCCAATTATCAATCAATAGAACAATATTCTAGGGCAAATCCAAAGGTCAAATCAATAATATAAAAAAAAAATACTCTTTATCCACATTTATATTTACAACTTTGCAAAACACCTGTGTAAATTAAAATATATTATAAAAACATACACTTTTCATATCCAGTTTATTTACCCCGGGTTTGTACATTAAATAACGTAAAGTACAATTAAATAATTATGAAAAGGCGCGTGTCTAATTTGCATAATAAACAACAACAATAATCAATTATAAATTCAAGGATTGTTAAATTGTATAAAAATAAAACACTCGAGGAAGAATATAGGAGTGCTGATAGAATATTATAAAATAATAATATTATTATTACGATGATAATGGATTACGATTTAATGGTGAAGATGATAAACAATAAGAAAATATTTTAAAATTACCACAGAGCGTGTAAAGTTAAACCGTGAACATCTCGGTCGCGATTCGACACTCGTCAACGCGGTACGCGGGGCAACTGATAATTCAGAACTAGCTACCACCTAGTGTAGAGTGTACCGAGTAGACTAGAATCCTACATGTCATGCTCACACGAGAGTCGTACTCGTCTACGAGAGAGAACTACCAGGAAAATTGTAACTCGCTGAGCACCTAACTAACGAAGATGGAAAATTAGTGGATGGAGGAGGCTCTATCGACCCATAAGCGTCCATCTATATATTTACATCCATTTATACCTTAAACTCTTATACTTTTATTTATTCTGTGTAAATATTTAATAATCGTAAAAATAATTAATGTTATTATTATTATATCTAATACTCGATAAAAAATATATTTTTAACAATAGACCTTTTTATAAAATCAATAAACACGCGCAGGAGTCTATGGGTTTTGTTGCACATTTCATGCTCTATTATGTGCCATGGTGGCTACTCATTTTTTGTTATTTCTTCATGCTTTTTGGTTAAAAAATTTATTATTCAATTTAGTGAGATTTTTTTTTTAATTATATTTCTTCTTTTATATTTTGTGGAAATTTTTTACCATTTTGTTACAATTATTTGAATTTACATAAAATATGAAAGAAGAAAAATGAAGAAATAATTTTTTTTTAATTGTAATAAATTTAATGGATTTTTTCCGTCAATTTTTTTTATCATTAATTAACAAAATTTTGTATAAAATTATCTGTTCAGATTAAAAAATAATTCAATTATTAAAACTTATACAGTAAATTTTACATTTTCTATTTTCTTCTAAGAAATATTTTTAAAGATTAAATTAATGAAATTTTTGTCTTATTATTTAGTTAAATTTATTTAATTTACTATAAAACACAATTATTAATATCAATATTATTATTGAGATTAATTAATCAAGTTGTTAATAGATATTCCATTTAATTATCTTAATAAGCTTTTGGTTGCATTAATAAATGACATATATTATATCAGACTTGGAATTACTATGGAAAATAGAGATTTAATTGCTGATAAGCGTGAAAGGATCCGAACAGAATGAACAGAAGGGTCGGGGGTACTGAGGGACGGAAACGAGTTTCAATGCAAATGATCGGAAGGCGGGAAATTAATTTATGCGTACGACTAATTTGTTTTATCGGCGGTCATGTGGAATAAAAATATGTATAAATAAATATATGTTACGTGACGCTATATGACCTGGTAGCCACGGCAACGCCTGGGTTTAAATATCTTACAATTAACCCATAGTTAACGACCAGCATGATGGAAAAAATTTACCTAAGACACGCTAACGCTTTTTTTTATGCTTTTAATGTATACCCTTTTTATTTTTTTTTACGATAATTTCAATCGAAATTTATTATCATTAATTATTCACTTCAATGAAAAATTTACTCGTCAGAAAATGATGACCTAGAAATTTATAATTTGCAAATTTTTAAGTAAAAATTTTTATTCTATTATTTAATTATTAAGATTAAAGATATTAATTACTAATGAGAAAAAAATAGATTAAAAATTTTTTTATTATACAATGTACAAAAAACATTAATATAATTAAACATACACAGTATGTAACGAGCTTATCTACAGAATATATTAATATATACAGTTGAATTTATCGGACATGTCTATTAAATTTATTTTTGATTTTACTTATAAAAATTATTTAATTAGATAATTACATACACAGTATGTAATAAAGCAATTATTTAATTTTCGGAATTTATCTAATGTGCTTATTACTAGACTAAACAAAAAAATATAAATTTAAAATCTATTGACATATTTGTACATGTGAAAATTAAAAATAACGCGCTTGCGCGAGGCCAGTTTGCGCGCCCTTTCGTCGCGGTTTTTATTTCGCTTACAATTTGACTAGACTTTAATTTTTTATCAATTTAAAATTGTCTGACTAGATTTATTTAATTTTATGGAAAGCTGAATGTCTGGAGCAATAATAATTGTTATAAATAATAATAATAATAATAATACATATTTAAATGAGAAGCGAGTAATTAGTATTCCACACTAGTCTCTCGTTAGCAGACATTCAAAACTTACAATAGGAATCCCATCAAACGGCTAAACTCGCATTCAAAATTCTAAAATTAAAGTAAACAACAAATTCGGAACCGGTTCCGTTTAACTAAAAAATTTATCACAGCTCAAAGATTTTATGACCCTTAAAAAATTACTACATTAATTTAAATATATTTATCTTATATATTACAACGTTTATTATGAGGGGGAAGCACAGTTTTATTCATAATTTTAATAATTGTATTATTAAATAGTAAATGATATTGCCAGGAAATTATCGCTTTGTACAATAATATACAATACATGTTAATTAACAACAATAATTATAATTATAGTAAACTTTATCATTAAAAATTATTACATTGTCAAGTTCACCTACATAACTCATTTGAAAAAAAAAAAAATTATGTCCTGAATATTATAATCAATAAAAATTATAATACATTAATTTGCTCACCGTGGAATTTAAATAAATCAACTAAAATATTTATTAAATTTCTGACTCATATAAAATTAAATAACTTTATTTTTTAATATTTACAATTTTCGTATTTTTTTTTTTTTTCTTTAAATTTAAAGGTCAATCCAATCTAAATTATCACAAATTTTTTTAAATGAGCAAATTATTGCAAAAAAGTATCAAGTGATTATAATATTAAATAATTAAAAATTTGAATGCAAAAAAGGGTCAAGTAGTGTAATATATTTTATTACTAAAGACATTGTCATATTTTATTGACATCTGTGCTCTTCATTAAAAAAAAAAAAAATTAAACTATTCAAACGGGAAAGTCATTACATAATATTTACTAACTAAATATTAACAAAAAAAAAATATTTGTACATTAGATCTAACTTTTAACTCTTATTGATACTTATACTTATATTTATATTTATATAGATAAATATTTCTAATTAATAACTATCAAACCCCCTCGATAAATCTTGCTTACAAACATAAATATTTGCACGCATATTATTAAACAATCGTCAGCACCTTAAAAATTTAAATAAACAAATTAATAATGTAAATCAAATACAGACGATCAAATACAAATAATATATTATATTATATTATTTACAGCAAATAAGGAACTAGTAAAACTTTTTAGGTCACCAGTTATTGCCGCGTCCGCGGCCTCGGAAATTTCCACCGCGAAACGGGCTTCCGCGTTTCATCGCCCTGGGATGAAAGTTACCGGGAGGTCCGCCGTTATTACCAGGATTCCGAGGTCCTCTGAAAAACAGGAAGAGACCGACACCACCACCACCAGCAGCACCACTCAGGTACCGGGGGTTGTTTCCAAGACTGAAGGTGAATCAAGTGTCGGAGTGATTTCAGATTATGTGCAAGCTATTTTTGATAGCATGAAAACCGCGGATGAGGAACACGCGATCCTTGACAACGCTCCGGATTTGTGGGATGATGAAAATAAGCCTACCACTCAAAGTCACTCTACTTCTGTTTCTATTTCTGGTTCTGGTTCGACTACTTCAGAGCCTACAACGCCCACAGCGACGGCAGCTCCGGAAACTACTGCTGCTACCGATGAGCCGATGATCGATAATCAACATGGAGAGGACAAGGATAAGCTTGACAACGAGACAAAGACAATGCTCGATGAGGGTAAAGAGTCCACGAGCACTATTAATCCCAGTAATGAGGGTACTGGGAGGGTACCCAGTATTCTAGACATGTTGGTTACTACAACAACCGAGCCCCCGACTTCCAAGAATTCCTCCGCATTGTTGGGCGCGATCCTCAGGACCTCGACCTCCACCAAAGTCTCCCATATGACGGAAATTTGCTATCGAGGTCGCTGTGTTATGACTAAGCCTAACAAGGACTCCCGTAGATGATTCTGATTAAATTTTGTACTTTGTTTTTATTTTTTAGTTATTTATTATTGAATTTTTGGTACATTTTTTGTCTATGGCTTATTTATGATTATTTATTCAACTAACGCAAAATTTTTTTTATTGTTTAGGGATAGAGGGTTTTAATTTGAAATTGCACGCCTCAAAATGAAAAGATAAGTAATTTTTTTTAATGATTAATTTTAATTGTTTCTAAAAATTTATTATGCTTTTACAGTAGAAATTTATTTGTGGATTAAAAATTGAATTTTTAGGCGTGCAAAAATGAAACTCTGACAAAAATTAATTAACTTTTAATAGAAAATTTTAACCAAAGTTTATTTACCACTAAAAAAAAATGTACCGGAAGTTTGCGAATCAATAAATTTAACTTCTAGCGTTAATGGATAAATAAAAAATTTGAATTTAAAAAGCTCTGAGTGGCAAATACTATTCACCACCCATCAGAGTAATTTATTTACGCTCGTTATAATGTCAGCAATGTTCCAAATGCGACGTATATGTGACACATGACAGATATCATCGTAACACTATATTTTCTTATCACACCAAATTGCTCGCTTAATCGATCCACTTTGTGCAAACACCCCGAGTGTTAAACATAAATTATTCATGTCTTCTTATTTTTATCACTAGCATTTTTAAAAATCATAATCATAATCATAATTATTATTATAATTTATCTTTACCTACAATTTATCTGTAATATATGATAATAATATTAATTGATAATATTAAATAAATAAATTTATGTAAATCGTACAATGTACATTTTTATTATTAAAAGTAATATATAATTTATAATAGTTACTGGCTTGAAACTCAGTATTAAATGTACAAGCCAATGTACTTTAATAAAATTATACTTGTATCTTTTTATTGTCTACTTTAATTAACATTATTAATATTTCAGAATACCCATTTTTAATAGTTTTTTGTTCATAAGGTTATGGGCCTAGTTGTTAATAATTTGGTAATTTCTTTCAAGTAAATAATTATAAAATAAAAAATTAAAAAAATTTGAATTCAATTTGAAATGCAACTCAATATCATTAATTATTATTTTCCAAGTAGAGATAATGACTTGGAAGTAATTGCATAAAAAATTGAAAAGTTAATTTTTAAATGAACTATTTCACAATTTTTTTTTAACATGTTCTGTTATTCAGAAAATTTTTCAATAAAAATTTACAAAGTTTTATGAAATTAAATCTTTTCTAAATTGAAGAACTAGTTTTTAACAGTTAAAAAAAATAAAAACATGAATTCTAGGATTATTCTTCTTGTTGAAGAAATTATTATAACAAAAATTCCATATGCAGAAGGTTTGAAAAACTGATATTTTAAAAAAATATATTCAATTGCTAAAAAAAGTAAAAAAATTGTCAGAAGTTTGCTGATTTTATTAATATTTGAATTTTCAAAACTAGTTTTATAAATAAAAACATAAAATTTCATCAAACTCAAAAATAAATCTTAAAGAAGATAAATAATTGTACTGTGTTTAAAAACTGGGTCTCCTGCCTTAAATTCTTTAAAAAGTGATTCATCGAGGCTAAGTAGAAGGATAAGGGTAATTTTTTACTGCCTTTAGATAAAGATTAAGATAAACTCGGAATGAAAATATAAATAGCATCAAGTATGAGTAGAGTATATAGATCCAACAAACATCTATCTAAATAAAAATGTATGTACGGAAAGGGATGTAGAGATAAGTATTTTTAATGAAGGGTTGTTCATCGATTGAGGGCGCATGCTCAGTGTATTCCGTCGTAGATGGCGCGTACAACCACAAAAATAGTATAACTCTGCGCACCTATCCGTAGACGAGGGGTAGAAAGCAGACAGAGAGGAAAGTTAAGTTTTAAGGGTGAGGGTTGTAGGGTTGGTTTTGCGACAACGACGCCATGCGGGAATCAGTATAAGCGGTCGGGTTATAGGTGAAAGGACCTCAATAACGAGTTCCAGCCCAATCCGGGTTGCTAATTATGCCAGGCGGCGAGGGGTCCGACACCCCCTTTAATTTACACCCTTGTGTTAATGCTAATGCTAATGTTAATGTTAATCAAAATGACAACGCTACCGATCACAATGAAGGACGTTTACATACGGACAGTGACTCTGTCAGGAATGACAGCTTGTGCGCGGACGATAATTATGGTGATAACTCGATGACAATTGGTGATGGGGTAAGGAGAAGAAAGGTCATACGGGCTGCTAAAGAAACGCTTGATAAGGGTAAGACTTTCTGTTTATTTTCAATTTAAACTCCGGTTTTTCTGCTGTTCGATTTTTTTTTCTAAGACAAATATGGTTGGTTGACATTTACGGGGTGGAATTTTATGGGTCAACTTGTAAATCGACACGTGGATTGAGATGGTCCAATTTTTACGTTTTTCTCAAGGATAAAGTAATAATGATAACTATACTGTACGGTATTTTATTAGGTAATATTGATGTATGTTTGGGGAGTTTTTTGGCAGAAGCTAAAGTCCCCTTGAATTGGTCGGCCCACTTACGGTGACCGAGTTCGTTCGATAAAAGAGAATGAGCAAAGAAAAAGACACTAGGTCTTAGTTCTTAGTTTGTTTTTTTTTTTTTCTGTGCTTAGATTAAAAAAGAGTGAAAAACTGCTGATACAATTTTGATGTTGAATATTTAGGTGTGATGGTTCATGAAAATTTTACAGAGATTATTTTAAAGACTTTTTGTGTCTTGAATGTAAAAGATTTGAATTGAATGATATTTATTTAAGCAAAGAAGAATAAATTTATTCAAGAATTTTTTTTGCTCGATTCAAGGTAAAAAATTAATTTAAATTATTTTCTTGATTTAAGATTTTTCTTAAAGATAGTTTCTTGGAATTGATAAATTTTCAAAATAAAATTGAAACATTGTTTCGCTGACCAGTATTTTTTTTTTTTATTGAAAAATTTGTAAATAATAAAAATTGGTGACTCATATTTTAAGGGAGATTCATTGAAATTGGTAGCTTTAATTTTTATAATAAAAATTTCGTATAAAAAAAGTTTTCTCTTGTTCTTTTAAATTTTTTTCACCCAGAATTATGTTCACGCTGTATAATATATTGATGCAAACTAAAGAAAAAGGCAATATCAATTTTTGAAATTTCTAATTACGCATTTTGTAATTTTCAAACAAACAACAATGATTTTTTTATTTTAATCAATAAAAATAACTAAAGAATTCACTTCGCGAAGTTTTTTTTATTAATCCTATGAACAAAATCATTTTCGGAGTAAGTTTCACTCCGGAGGGATTTAATTAGTTAAAATTGTTAAAACTTATTTTACTTACAGCTTCGCGGCTGCTGAGGCGAAAGATACCCTGCACTGGTCATCTGATGACTCCCCGCCGCCTATGGATCCAAAAGGTTCCAACTCAAGTGAGTAACTAGAAAAAATAAAATTATAAAATTATTTTCACAAGTTATTATAGAAATATGACATCATATTATTATTTTCTCGGGTTAGAGATTTAGCTTTAGCTTTCAAACGCTGAGTCAATAATGCAGCGTTATGAGCGTTTGTTTTAATACTATAAAGCTTGTGGTGGTTAGCAAACTTTACTCAGGTTTCTATTATTTATAGAAAAACGTTAATTATTTTTTTTTATTCAACGCTATAACTAGAAAATATTTCGTTCGGAAAAATTCAGCTTCAATTTTTTTCACTCAAATTGACCCGAAGCAAGAAAAGATGTTTTTTTTTTTTTAACTCTTCACAAGGAATGGTGCAAAAAATTCATTTCCTACAATAGTCAAAAAAAGTAAATTCAAGGAAGAATAAAACCTCCGAGGGTTGAGGTTTTATTTTTTACTTGTAGTCATTTTATCAGTAATGGTCTTTCTAACAATTGACATCTAGCTTTTTTCTCTTGTCTGTTCTAATTTTTTATTTTTTTATTGTTACAATAATTTTTTCATCCATATAATGTAAAAAATTTTCAATCATATCTATAAGGGAATATCAAAAAAATTATAAACAATTTTTTTAAAAGCTATTTTGAAAAATATTATGATCAAAAATTGAAAACAAATAAGGTTGAAAAATAAATATTTATTTTAATAAATATCAAATAACAATATTGTGAACTGAAAACGTGAATATAATGGGCAGCTATTATTGAGACAGAAATGTTACGGGCATGTAGAATCGATTAAACATCGTATCGGCAATCATGTAATGCATATAATGGATAGCTATAACGTTTATGTCAATTATCTGGGATATTACATTAAAGTTCTTGTTTAGTATGTGTATCTGGTACATAAATGAGTGTCTCTGCTCATAAATTTTTACATAGATGTACTTTTAGTCTAAATTTGATATATATATTGATATATATATATGAGCATGCACATGAATATGAAGAGCCATTAATGCAAGGATTTTAGGACACGAATATGTACTCAACGTAAGTTCTTATCTAACTGGTTACATGCAAAAGCTGTCGCCCGAAATGGATCGTTTTCAGCGGTCTTTTTATTTCATATATTTTCTGCTTACCCAGCAAAACCATACTGTTCAACTATTTTCATCCGCGACTTCATCCGAGTGTATTCAACCATTTTTACATCCGACTGTTGAATTCGTCATTAATCAAGTAACACATTGCAGTTTTTTTGACACATCAGTCAAAAATAGCAGATATTTTTTCTTGAATTTATCAAGTCGCTATCTCAAGCTTAATTTCACAATAATTATCTTCTATCACAATGTAGTTAAGAATTATTACATAATTTTTTTTTTTCAAGTTGAAAATTTTATTTTGAATTCATTTAAATTCAATTGTCCTTAAAGTGTAATTGTTTGAATAAATAATTTTTATAAAAAAAATAAAAATAAAAATTGAGCTTATATTTTTAGACCTAAGAATAGAGGAAAACATTTTCCAACTATTCTTGATTACGCTTTCCATCTGTTGAGTCAACTAGAATAATTTAACATGAATATGCAGTAGTTAATTAGAAACGCGGTTTATATTATGTTTTCAAGTAGAATAAATAAATAAAATGAATAAAGAAAAATTTCTTTTTCAAACTTAGGTTTTTACTTTTCATAAATAAAATAAAAGGAGGCATTTATGTATTATAACATTATTATTGACAAAAACTGTAATTAATTTTTAATCGAGTCCAGAATTTGAAATTTTGTGTGTTGTATGAAAGGGATCGTTTGATAATAACTTTTTTGTGAATCATTTAACACATGCGAGTGCATGAATCAATATTTACTGGCTGTGCCGTATATATTCAAGAATTAGTCGAAAGTATTTATTTTTGTTATTTTTATCCAACGCAATAACAGTAAATCTCTTTGATATATCTCTCTTTGGTTCAACTGTAAATTTGTTAAATATATTATTAATGTAATTACCAAATGACACTAATGAAATTTATTTAGAATAATTAACGCTAAAATATGTGAGTTTAATGGCGAGAAGAAATCACAATTTAAATTATTGTTTCATTCAAATTCAACCCTGGATGTCAAATATTCATAAAAAGTTCAAATTTCTGAAGCAATTTGAAAAATTTAATTGTCTTAAGTAAAAAATTTTTGAACTGTAAATTTTTCTTGGCTCAAGTAGCATTTTTATCAATTTAGTATCAAAAACTTAATGAATCAATTGGGAATGTGAGTTTTCTTAATAATCAACAAAAGTATATAGAGCTAATAAACACTAACTTTGTCGTAAGTGTAGCGACAAACACGCATACGTTTACCTACAAAGTACGATGTATTCATTATACAGAAGCATGCTATAAAATCGATTTGTGTCACTGAACCCGCATGTTATATTTAAAACACTAATCCGAAATTTGCATAATTCCGTGACGTAAAAACTATCAATCATACGCTTTCATCTATATCTTTATCAGAACTTCCATCTACTTTTCGCTTTTATTATTATTATCATAATTATTATTACAATTGTTATTATCTGTTTAGAATATTGAAAAGAAACCGTGGCACCGAAAAGATCAAATAAAAGTGTGGGTTCAAGAAATAACAGGCTCAATTTTGTTACTGTAGTGTGTGTACTGCTTTGGCACGAATTACGTAGCTTTTATTTGGCAGATATCCAACTTACACAATGCAATGTACTCTCACCCTTACCGTCAAATCTCTCAATCTTTATACTAACATCCATACACATCACGTACTTGTGAACGACCTAGTCACTTACTTTTACTACTGGAAAATATTTTTTCGCTTTGTCTCTGTCAGGCTCGAAGCTTTCATTCCGGATCTTTTTATCTTCAAATCGCGGACATTTATCTGTAAATATAATATTATGTAATATAATACATATGTAAGAGAACGATGTGTTTCAACATCCGAAAGCAATTTAGGCAAAATTGAATTTTTTAGGGCTCAATTCAGTGGAGAAAAAAAAAAACAATTATGTGTGCAGTTCCGCAATTTTGATGTTTTTTTTTTTTTTTTTTTTTTTTTTTTTTTTTTATTACAAGATCTATATTTTTATCTCGGTAATTAATATGCGGATATTGGCTTGAATTTCTGGGCCAAAAAAATCCATATCAATTTTATTCTGTTGAGTTAATCCCGGAAAAGTGAAAAAGTTTTATCGCAATTAATAATAGGCGATAGAAAGCTAAATATTTATTGGAATTCCATTGTTTGTTGACGCAGAAAATTGAAATTCTCTTCTGCTGTTTTATTTAATTTGTAATGGGATGATAATTAAAATCAAATTTTTTGTGATTGAATATAGTTATAGATATATATAGTATAATAGTTTAAAGAGAAATTTTTTCGGGTTGATTTCAAACTTGGAATTCAATGATTAAATTGAAACGAATAAGTTATGTGAGGCATAAAAGTAAAATTTTACACGCTTTTTTTTACCCTCAAACATTTGAGAGAATAAACTTTTATGATATTCTTTTTACGGGCGCCGCATATTTTTTTTTTCAGGAGAAAATCAATGCTGGTGTACAGAAAAAAATTTGTTTTGTTGTGTTGAATTGACTTTTTGCTAGTAGGAAAAATTTGAATTTATAAAAGGCTAATAAAAATTATTTATTTTTAAAAAATTGAAATAATAATAATAATAATGTCCTAAGAATATTGATAATTATTGTTCAAAATTTTTAAAAAACTGTATCGAAAAAACAAAAATAATATTTTAAAATTACAGGAATGCGATGTAGTAATTTTATTTCCAAATGGCGCTAATGATGAAATCCTAATGTGGTTGTTAGGAAGATTACGTGCTGGAACACCTGGACTAGTAGTCCATGTTCGTCATCATACATCATCAGATAGTTACGGATTTTATTTAACAGCACCCTTTCCTGTGTACGTATGCTCCTATTTATTTTCTACTTATTAGTATGTTACACACTTAGGGAAGTAAAGTAAGAAATGTCAGCTTCGCCTCGGCGAACAATTACATTTTTTTTTTATAAATTCATCTCGGGTTATAGGTGGTCAATCGCCTTCAAATTTTTAGGGTAATTGTATCATCATGTCCTTAATAAGTATACAAAAATTTAGAAATTTTCTGACAGTATGCCTTAACCACGACAACTACCTTAATTAAAAACAGTACAGTGCAGTATTAAATTAAACATCTTTATCTACTTATTCTCACTCCATGTACTTCTTCCATTAAAACTTTCAACTATATTAAAAAAATCACTCTCGAATTATGGAACTTGAATGTTTAACTTCCTTTAGTTTTATTACCCAGAATATTTATAATTGAAATTATATAATAATATCTTTATTGAATTCCTACTTAAACTCTTTCCCTGACTTTAAGTACTATTTATTCGATTGAAAACTTTTCAAATTAAAAAGAAAAATTTATATATAGTTCTCTCTCGGGTTGGGTTATTTACTGCGACAGTTACGGGCTTAATGTATTGCAAGGTTGTTGAGAAAATAAATAAAATTTTATAACTTAATAATATTGTAAATCACTTTAATCACCCCAATTCTAAATGATTAATTTATTTTAAAACCATTTTCATTTTTAATTGAGAAAATATTAATTAAAAAATTAATTTTTTATAAAAAAAGATTATTAAAAGCTGCTGAAGAAGTTCATTTGCCGAAAGCTCTAAGACAAGAGTACGGCGGAGGTCTAAAGGAATTCGTACACACCGAAATAAATTGTTTCGAAGGTAGCGATGATCAATCGCTATTTTTTACCACGCAAGAGAGACAATCTCTAGTGTTACATCTTCTCCACACGTTACGAGCGACCCATCAAGATCTATCAAGTCTTCCGGGCGTTAAATTAGTCGAAGGTCAAGCTATTATCCCTAAATGTATTTCTTCAGGTATTATTTCTCAGGTAAATTTAAATTATTTCTTCACTTTTTCTGTTATATCCTTGTAATTACACTGAAAAAATTTTTTGTTACGACAATTTAAGATGAGTTGTGGGAACAAATTATTAAGTTAGCATAAAGATAAAAAACCACATGTTATGATAACAAAGCATAGGTTGTAATAATTAAGTTAATTTATATGTTACATCAACAAAAAAGTTTTGTCATTGTAGCAGAACCCTTTAGTATATTTTAATAAAAATATTTTGTTGCAGTAACAATAACTAGATAGTTGATCTAACAAATTTTTTTTTGTTGAACTAGGTAAATAATTTTGTTAAAATAACTAACAGTAACTTTAACTATCATTAAATAAATTCTGTTATTATAAAAAAATCACCTAAGTAATGTTAACGTAATAATTTAGTATTAACAACAAACAGATATTGTTATTCCAACAAAATGATTGTAGTTAAGAACACAGATTGGCGCAGTAGTATTATAAACTATTTTTATTGCAACTTTTATCACTTTATTAAAATAACTAATCAATTTATTACCTTATATTTCTTAACCTCGTCTTTTGTTATCTTAACAAAATCTTTTTGATGAATAAAATACCAACTAAAATCTTTCTTATAAAACACAGCAAAAATTTTTTTTATCTAAAATTTTTCTTAATCTTGATATTAGTTTAATTGTTTGTATTAGATAAATTTATATTTTTTTTAAAAAGTTGATTAATTTTTTGTTACCCTTAGAAAGTTTCAAATTTTTTGTTCTTTTTTTGTAATAATCTTTCGACACAAACTTTGTATAGACTGCTTTTCCAAAAAAATAAAAAATGTGTTGATTTTATACAAAATTTATTACTATGTAAACTTTTTATAATCACTATAATAAAAAAATAAAATTAAACAGGTCTTTCCATTACACGAGCTTCCGGCTCTAGAAAAATTACAAAAGAGCTGGGTAAGAGCGTTTTTAAGTCCACAGCCGCTAGATGAAATTTGTAATTATTTTGGCGTTAAAATAACCATGTACTTTGCCTGGTTGGGCCACTACACTACTGCACTTGTGGTTCCTGCTGCAGTGGGTGTCATATACTGGGTAAATTTAATTATCTATGCTTTTTATAGTGCTAATCGATTTTAATAAGTCTAGTATTTTTTAATGGATTTTTAATGCATTGGAATTTTTTATCGTGGGCATAAAAAATATTTATTTGCTTGAAGGCTCGGCTATCGGTAAACGATTAAATGTTTCAAACGTTGTAATTTACTTTAATAGTATTTTTTTTTATAAAAAATTTTAGCAAATAAATTTATTATCATTTTTTAGAGCAGACTTTTTTCTAATTAACAAAAAAATATATTTATTGGCAAAGGTCGGCATCATTGGCAGGAATCAAGCGGTAGAGGACGTAGCTTATGTTCTTTTCTCAATTTTCAACGTTATTTGGGCGACTGCGTACTTAGAAACCTGGAAGCGCAAAGGAGCAGAGCTCGCGTACAAATGGGGTACATTAGATCAACGAGATGATTTACTTGTAGAACCGAGGCCATTGTTCGTCGTAAGTACTGTCTTTTTTTCGTTTTCACACAATACTGCGAACAGTTGGTCTCAAAATGGACACTTTGATGGCACAAAAAATCACAATTACAACCACAACTGGAAAAATAAAATTAAAGCCAGAACTAAAACGAAAATTTTAATTTTATAAATTTTTATAAAGATTGTTAATTTTTTTTTAAGGGAACCTTACAAGTGTCACCTGTAACTGGAAGACTAGAACCTACGTACCCTAATTGGAAAAGAAACGCTATTCGATACTGTATCACCGTTCCTGTTATCGCGGTTTCATTATTTTTCGTTTTCATTGTCATGATATTGAGTTTCCAAATCCAGGTAATTTATTACTACATATCGTTGATATTTTACTGAATAATTACTCCGAGGGAAAAATTTAATTGACAGAATTTTTAACCAAAAAAATCATTCTTAAGTTTCAACATCAATAAAAAAATTTTTTATCGTCAGGATTGGTGGGACGCAAAACTAGAAGCTGCTGGATACGGTTTTTGGCTGAGTTACGTACCAAAAGTACTTTTGGCAGTAGTTATAGCGCTGATGGACGAAGCGTACTTCAAAATAGCCGTCTTGCTAAACGATTTGGGTACGTATAATATTTTTAATAGCTATATTTATTCACTGTTGAATAAATAAGCGAAAGACTGGAAGAGTTGAAATTTACACCGACTAGATAACATCAATATTAAAATTGATCTTTATATTTATATTTATTCTTATAATTTTAAGAGACAATGGAACAAGATTTTTAATTCAAGCCTTTCAGTCTCGGTTATTTCCTTCTCTCTTATTCACGCTGCAAGATAGAAATAGACTAGATCGATAGTGATTTTTGATTTAAAACACCCGAGTACTTTTAATATCTTTTTTTTTGTTTATATTCATTAACAATCGATAGATATATACGTAGATAGTGTCTTATTTTATTTTATATGTGTTGGATGCAGAAAACTATCGACTTGACACCGAGTACGAGAATCATCTGATCTACAAAGTGGCGCTGGTAAATTATTTTTCAATATATTTTTTCTTCAGTAGTTATTTTGCAAAATATATTTTTCTTATATTTATTACTTCCAATTTTTTTTCTAAAAGCCAAAAGGGCACATCGAAAAAAAATTTGTTTTTTCTTTCAACCCGATTTTTTCTTATTTACATTCTCAAGTTTTTTTTTTAATTATTTTACACGCCTATTTAGGATTAATAACGCGATATAAATTGTATTACTAAAAAACATTGATAGAAAAATGTCTACATGCTTGTATTAGTACTAGAAGCTCACAAAAAGCATGTCTAGTTCTTAAAAAAAAAAAAAATCAAAAAAAATTACTGATCTATAAACATATAATTTTTAGTTTCAGTTCGTCAATTCATTTCTTTCGTTGTTTTACATCGCGTTTTATCTGCAAGATCAAGAAAGATTAAAAGAGGTAACTTATTATATTGCGTTATTTATCATATTTTTACAGTTATAATTATTAAAAAAAATTTTTTTTCTAATTATTCCAGCAATTGGCAGCACTCCTGATAGCACGACAAGTGATAAGTAACTTAAAGGAATCAGCAGTACCTTATCTAATAGAACAATTACGATTAGCGAGACTAAGTTTCGAGATGTTCGGGGCTTTGAGTCCCAGCGAAGCGCGATCTCCACCTGAGGATGCGGCTAAAGACACCGAAGATGCAGCAGATACAGATAAAGTCAAAGACAAAGACAAGGAAGACAAAGATAAGAAAGAAGACAAGGCTAAACAGCAAACGCGGAGCATCAGCCAGGCTGAATTGGAGAGTTCACTGTACCGAGTAGGACACTCATCTAATTCTCTACTTAGTGACTTTACTCTTAAGGTTTGGTTCTAGACCTCACCTAGATCGCCTAATTTTAACTGTATTGTCCATCGAGCACCTCATTAACCATATTGCACGAAAACTTATCAGTCAATTGGCCAAATTATATTTTTATTTATATTATTATAATTATAAATTGGTAAATTGATTAATTATTAATTATTATGATTTCATTATGTCCTTTGTTGTTTGTGTTACTTATATTTTAATTATTTATTATCAAAATTATAAAATAATTTTTTTTATAAATTCTTCATATCGGTCTTCATCATCGACACGCAGATTCAGGCGATCAAAAAGGTATAGTTTGCTTCACCGTTTTATTTATTATTATCATCATTGTTTTAATTTTGAATTAATCACTGATTGATTATTGATTACTGATTTGTTTATCCTGTCATTTTTGCATAAACACGAGTGGAGCGTGAGCTCACTTTTAATCGATAAATTAAATTTTTCGAGTAAATGAATAGTAAATAATTAATTAATTAATTTCAGTATGACGGGGCGTTTTCCGAACACTTGGAGATGCTTTCGCAATTGGGTTACGTTTGTTTATTCTCATCGGCGTTCCCTTTGGCGGCGATGGCCGCGTTGTTGGGAAATTTATTGGAATTACGCGGCGACGCTTTTAAACTTTGTTTCGTGTTGCAACGCCCGTTTGGTCGACGCGTGTCTAGTATCGGCACTTGGCAAGTAAGTTATTACTTTTATTTTGTTATTAAACTTTATTATGGTATTTTTAATAATTTGTGAAAGCTTTTGGGCTTCAATTTTTAATTATTGATCAACAGCTTTGATGTTTATAATATTGTATTTTATAATTGAAAAAATGTTGAGTATAAAGGAATGATTGAAATTTAATTTTAATTGTTGTAATTTTTTATTAAAAATAATAAATTTTTTAAATTAATTACTTAATTAAAATATCTTTAAAGTTATACGAATTTATTTCAAAAAATAAGTTTTGATTATTCAAAACATAAAAAGTAATTAAAAAGAAAATAATTTTGAAACTAAAGAACAAGTATTTTGCATATTAATATTTTCATGAGTAGAATAATTCAAATACGTGCATGGTAAACTGGGAAATTAGTTTTAAATTGTTCATACTTAAAGTTTTTTGAAATATTATAATTTGTTACAATGAATTAATATGATTAAATTTAAGTTTCATGAAAAATTATGCAAGTTGTTTAGTTTCACGGTCACTAGATTTTTTTTTTATATAAAAAATTAGAACCTAATGTTTAAAACGTTTTTTTTTTTTTAATTATTCTATTTTCCGACGGATTTACGATAATAATTATGAAAATTTCCAAAAAAATCAATTTCTCAATTTTTTTATAATTTGATAAAATTAACATTTAAAAAAAATTTTTTTTGATGAACTTTAAAAAAAAAAATATGTAATAGTTAAAAAAAAAAATTGTAAATATCATTGGTACGGATTTGAGTATGTTGGACCGTAAAACTAAATAATTACCAACACACTAAACAATGAATAAAAAATTTTAATAAAATGAATAAATAATCATACCGAATAAATTAATATAGAACGCGATGGAAGCAATGGGCTTAGTAGCAATTTTGGTGAATTGTGCCCTAATTGGTCTGAGTGGTCAGGTGCAGCGAATGTTTCCCGAGATGTCAGCTACGCAAACAATTCTCCTGATTGTCGCCCTCGAGCACATTATGTTAGCAATTAGATTTATAATAACATGCGCAATACCGGACATTCCAAGCTGGGTGGCCACGGAAATGGCTAAGGTTGAGTTTCTGCGTCGTGAAGCTGTCCGAAGGCTGTCCTCAACACCCTCACCAGATCAGCAAATGCAAACGGTTATAGGTAAATAGATTATAAACACGCATTTGAATTTGACTTTTCAAAATTTACATTAATTTCTTTTTCATTTTTTTTTTCTAAATAAAATAAAACTTTTTGGATTTAAACTGTAAAAGTAGAGCGTGTTTATATAAAAATATTAGTATGATGTGGCGCTTGGCGCCGATTAACTGGCTTCGAACTCAGGGAGGTTCGTGGTGAGTCCAGCAGACGGTGAGAACGACGCCGAAGCGACCCTCATGAGCCAAGCCGGGTCCATGAGCCACTCAGAGAAAAACGGCCCCAGTCACGAGGGAACTCCTTCCGGGGACACAGGGACTTCTTCGGCGATTCACACCCCGAGTAGTCCACCCACGCCAGGAGTTTCTGCGATGCCAAAAATCGCGGCGACACCTCCGGCTCTGGAGACATCCGGAAGTGTTGGGAGTGTCAGCGATTCTGGGAGCCTTTTTTCAGCGAGTTACAACGCCAACACCACGCGCGAGTCTCATAATACTCCTAGATGTTCTATTCCAGGTGGCGAACGTGGTAAGTTTTTTTGTTTTATTAAAGGGTGACAAGAAACAATAAAATGTACAAGGACCTTTTTTGTAGAGACTTTAATTTCTTATAAAAAGATATCTTTGTAATTTTTTTGTATCTTTCACATTTCATCCACAATTTAGACTTTAAGTCTATGTGTAAATAATCTGTGAAATTATTCCTAGTAGTTTCCTACAAAAAAGTATTCTTAAGATTTTTTTGTATCTTTAATATTCTATTCGAAATTTAGAATTTCAAGTCTTGTAGAAAAATTTCATAGCATATGCAAGTTTTCCTAAATAACGTTTTGAATGGTTTATCAGGACGTCGTTCTCGAGACTGGTTAACAAGCGATCGGGGGTCATCTTCACCCGGGACAGATCAGTACAGTCATCACCTGACAATTGGTCCCCATGGTGGAATCGACTGGGTAAGAAAACTCGGACTTGACGGGACTGGGGTTCGTAAATCCAGTGATTCTGAGATCAGCGGAATTCCGGAAAGTAATGTCGAGGATTTAACCCTCCATCGATCCACGGATTGTATCGTCTCCAAGGAATTAGCCTCGTCATCAGATAGTGACCTCCTGAGGTATCACTTTTTTCTTTTTATACAACTTTAAGAGTTGTACGCACAAAAAGACCGAAATTTTTATCTAATTACTTTTCTCATCATCAATTTGTCAGAAAAATTAGTTATATATTTTATTTAAATCGCTAATTTTTTTAAAACATTAGTATTATTTTTTTCTAATTATAATTCTTCTAAAAAAATTGATATGATAAAAAAATTTTTTTTTTTACTCAATATTGTTTTAAAAAAAAACGCCCCGAGACGACTTTACAAATATTTGTATAACTTTAAATATATTCGTCCTATTGAGATCAAAGTTTCTGTGTATAAACTTAAATATAAGTACATTACAAAAATGAAATAAAAAAAATTGATTCTTTGCAAATTCCAAGTGCATACAAGCCTTCAAATTTCTATCAAAAGAATAGAAATTTTCATACTTTAAACATTTTTCCAGATCAGCGCCGCCGTGGATGCAAACCCATCGTAACCAGAAATTCCGGTTCTCTCCAGAGAAAGAAAAAGCCCGTGAACGTGATCGACATCACTCGGGGTCACAAGTGCAATCAACACATCATTTACAGCTACGTGAGACGGATTTCAGTGATCGTAGGTCTTCAGGTCACGAATCTAGCAGCGGGATTTCCAGTAGCGGGGGCGGAAATGAACGAGCTCACGGCGGAATCGGGGGCTTTGGGCTGTCTGATTCAAGCCGTACGATTGCTAGCCAAGACGAGGAAAAAGCCGCGTCGAAAGAAGAACGTGAGGCTAAGAAGACACGTGTCAAACAAAGTTTGATGAAACGCGCACGTTCGGTTGCTATTTTTTCCTTAAAACTGAAAGAGCGACGCGCTAAAGAGGCCGAAGTTAAAGCCAAAGAGGCCGAAAGGGAAGCTAGGTGGCAGCAACCCCAGTCTTGTGTCGGGGGCGAGTTGTCTTGTATACCTATTGAGAAACTCATATCCGTTGATGACATTGCCGCGATGGAGGGTCGTAGATTAAATCACTAGTTTCATTTTTTATTTTCTGTTATTTATTTTTATCGGATTTTTAAAAGTATTAGTCTAGATTGAATATATCAATAAATATTTTTTTAATTTTTTCTTGTGAAAAAAATTTTTTGATTGTTGTTTAGATGTGGAGATCCGGTGTTTTTTACCTGAAAAATCTCAAAATTTATTCATTTAAATTTTATTTTTGTTTGAAGCAAATTTATGTGTATATAAATTGGAAAATAATAAAAAATAAGTTTTTTGACAACAAAAAAATTTCATGGTATAATTTGAACATTTTTGAAATAAAAATATTTTTTTTTTAATTTGTAAATTTTAAAACTAGTTCAATTATTTAGAAGTAATGCAATAATTTTCAATATTTATTAATTTTTTTCACATCCAGTATCAAAAATAGGACAATTTAAAAAATGAATAAAAAAAAAAAATTGTTGATAACTTAATTTTTTTTTTTATGGGCAAAAAACAGCGGAACTTACACCTAAACACTCACCATTTTGTTATTATTATTGCAAGGAATTTTTGAAAATTTAAGGATTGAGATTGTTTTACCAAATTTTAACGATTTCTTTCATAAAATTTTTTCTAATTTATAAAAAATTGAAACATGAAAATTTTATAAAATTGTCAACGAATTAAAAAATGATGAATTCTTCTATAAAAAAATTTCTTATCGTCTGTCTATCAAGACCGGTATGAGTTAAATTAAATTAAATTAACTTGCTGAGTAGATGACAAAATAAAAACTAAGTAAAAATAGTGTATAGAAAACTGATTGGACGGAACGACGCACAATGAATCAAGACATCGAGTACGGTAACTTAATAAATAAAAAAAGATGCCTTCGCAATTCGATCATAACGTAAAAATCATCTCTCAACTCATCTCTCCTGTCCTCAACTCAAAAATCATTGTAAATCGTCAATTTAAATCATCGGTTGTAATAAAGGAAAAAAAAACGCTCGGTATGCGGGAATGTATCTAATGATGATGAAAACTAGTCATAGATGCTAGACAATAGTTTCGGCCACTGTAGATTACATAAAAAAATAACGTCCAGATAAAATTTTTGTAAAGTATTGAAATTACAATAACAATAGAAGCTTCGTGATAAATGAGCAATGATAAAGAAATAATTAATTGGTTAAAAATAAATAATAAATTAAATAAATGAGTGATGAAGTTAATTCATCGTGATTAATTGTTGTTAAATATAATTGTTGACGCTGACGTATAAGTTGTTACATGCTGTTAAATAGATTAAATTATTAATAATAATGATAATAAATGTTGATAACGCACTTTATTTTTTTAAGTTTTCTTTGACTTTAATAAATAAATAATGTAAATAATTTATCGGGATTTTTTTTCGACTATTGTTTTGTAAGTGTTATTAGCGTGTGTACCGTATACTTTAGCCGCTTTGGTATTACTTGGTAATGTAATGAGTAATGATGGTTAATTACTTCCAATAAGAAATGTCAATTATTTAATTATTTTTTTTTTCGTAATTTATAATGTAGTTAATGCACACATTAATGTTAATGATGCGTGTTTGTTTAGATGTTTTGTATAAAAGAGATATGAGCTATTGTAATAGATTAAAAATCTCTGTGAATATTTATTGGTCTTTAATTCATTATTCATTCTGTTTTATTAGTTAAAAAAAAATTATTCATTGTTTTAGTTTTAACTATTAATTTACAAATTAAGAAAAAAATCACCAATTAAATTATGGTTGGTGAATTATTTAATAAGTATGATAATTTTATTGTGTTAAAATTTGAATTTGAATTTATTTATTATTTTACCGTCATGCGGGCTCGAACCGGCATCTTACGGATGAACTTTACGCTTGGACAAGAGAAATTTTTCAATTAAAAATTTATAAATATTTATTTTTTAAACAATATGACAAATTTATCAGAAAATTTCAGATAAGAAAATTCAATTTTGTAAAAAAAATTGCATATCCGTAAAGTTTTATCGGAAGATAAAAACCCAGCCATAAGTGATAAAATAATAAATATAAGTAATAAATAATAAATATTTATCAACAATTACTGCTGAGGAGAATTTATTTACTTTGTTATTATTTTGATTGAGCAATATTTAATTACTGACAAGCTATATATCGTTGGAGTTATAGAGGGGAAAATGACAGACCATGAATGTGTTGACTATGTCAAGCATTGTGCATTATGTTAGTTGAGACTTGTCACAAGTAAAGTGAAGTCATAAAACTTTAAGCCGGTTGATTCCACTTAACTTGATTTATTGGACACATCCGAGACCTAAATTAACAAATAAACTTTTTATCTGACAGTTTATCAGAAAACAATTCATTTTGGTTGTCAGATCTCGAGTCCGTCAAAATTTTTTGTTAAAACATGGATTTGTCAGAAGTAATCAGCAGTAAATTTGGTGAAAAAAATTTAAAAAATATCCTGAGCAAAGCGACTGGTCATGAAATTTCAAAAATTTCTGATACGGGGTGCGAATTTGAGGCTAATTCTACAAAAGGTGACAATTATCTCTCAGTAGTGCATCGCGTACGGATCCACGGTCTCGTTGATGGTAAACAAATAGAGACTAGAGTAATTATTAAAACATTGCCACGAAATATCGCGACTCGAAAGACTTTCCGGAGTGCGGAGTTTTTTGAAAATGAAATAAACTTTTACAACAAGGTAGTTATTTGTATTCTTATTTTTATTTATATTTTTGTTTTTTAATGTATTTCATTTATTTCCTGCTGACTTTTTAGGTTATTCCTTTGATGGAGAAATTCCTGGAGACTAAAGGTAAAAAAAATTTTCTACCTGCTCCAAAATGCTGGGACAAATACTTTGATGGAGAAAATGATTTTATCGTTCTGGAAGATATCAGAACTCGTGGGTACGGACATATTGCAAGACAAGATCCTTGGAAACTTGAAAATATTAAAGTTATACTGAAAACTTTAGCGCAATTCCACGCTATATCATTCGCGTTTAAGGATCAGTGTCCTGAGGTATTTTCTCAGATACCAAAAATTCTTAAAGAATGTTTTTATGGTACTGAAAAACACTGGGCGTGGTATGGAGAGTATTATGTATGATTATTTATTTTTTATACTTTAATAACAAATATTTAGATAGTAAATTATTGCTAATTTTTCAAAAAATAAAAAATAATCAAATCCTAATATTAATGAAAAAAAAAATTTTTAATGCATCTAATTGTAAATAATAGATATCAAGACAATTTTTATTTAATTACAATCTTTTGCATGATAACTTGATCATAATCATTAAATTAAAATTATTGAAATTAGAATGAGACATTAAACGTCGCCAAGGACGCGGTTTCAAAAGAATACCCAGGATCATCAGAAGAGAAAAAGTTTCTATCAATTCCCGCCCGTTTCTTCTTCGAAAAATCAATGGAGATTTGTAGACATCCCGAAGCTCCAACGTCTGTGGTAACTCAAGGTGACTCTTGGGCAGCCAATTTCATGCTTAATTTATCAGAAAAAAGTTCATCTAGCGACCAAGAACCAGCGGCTATCTTGTTGGACTTCCAACTAGCCAGATGCTCCAGCCCAGTTACAGACATTGCTTACTTTTTGTATACAAGTACCGATAAAGTAACTCGTGATAACCACTTCCAAGATCTTCTCAACTATTATCACTGCAATCTTATCGAAACGGTTGTTTCTCTTGGCTCTAAACCAGACTTGTATCCGCTGGATACATTTTTACAAGAGGTATTTCTGACTAAATTGTTGTCAATTATTATCAGGTTCTGATAATTGATTAATTAATGATACTGAATTCTCCAGACATCGGAAAATTTTTACAATTTTCAAATCAATTCAATTATGATAAAAAAAAATATTTTCAGATTCGTACTTATAATTTTTTTTTATTTTTGCAAGTAAAATTTCTTTATTAAATTTTCTTCATAATGTAATTGTTATACAAATTATGAAAATTCTCAAATGTCTGCTAATCTTCATTATTAATTTTCATGAAAATTAAAGTAGCAGGTATTTAATAATTTTTTAAAGAAATAAATTACTGCAAAAAAAATTGACATGTAGAAATTTTAAAAAATAAAAATAAAAATTTTTTTTTAATAATTTTTTAGAACAAATTTGTTTGTTAAATAGAATTTAAAAATTGTCAAGTGACTGCTAACTTTAATGTCATTTAATTATCTTCTAGGTGAAGGAAAAATTCATTCTAGGATTCGGATTTTCAATAGAAGCTCTACCGGTTATGACACTCGACGAATCAGAAGCGTTTGATATCGAAGATATTCAGGGAACTGAAGCCGTGAATATTTCTAAAGTATGGAAAGTTAAACCGATATCGTGTAAGAAAAATCGCAAGCGAGTTGCTGATGCGATGGTTCACGCTATTCATCAAGGATTTATTTAGTTGGAATTAAATAATTATCTAATAAAATGATGTAATAATCTTTTTTTTTCTTTTTTACCACGGTATTTAATGATAAGATTATGGTTTATATTGTGTATAAGTACCAGATAATGTTTATTGTATCATTTAGTTGCTTGATTATTTATCTGTAAGAAGTTATTTCTAACAGTGTCCACAAAATATTAGTTGAATTTTTGAATAATAATCTTATTGAAATATTTGATAAATTTAGCTGATTTTTTATTTTGAATTTAGCCGCGAGCGCTGGAAGCGCTACACTAGCGTTTGGTGCTGATAAATTAGTGACGTGTATCGGGCGTATAAATATTAATTGTAAAGAGTCAATAGATAGAAATTTTGTACTAAAAGTTTGAATTGTAAAATTGTGTGAATTAAAAGATACTTGTATTTTTTTATTGATAAATTTATCATAATGGCGAAAAATCAAGATATTTTAACTGGGCTAAGTAAGTTATTGACGGAAAAAACACTGGAAAATATTGTAAAACAGGCAACTGGAGGAAATAACATCGAAATAATTGATTGGAAAAGTGAGGAAGCTTCTAAGAAAGGTGACAGTTACTTATCTACTGTTACGAGATTGACGATAGAAGCTATTGTTGATAACAAGAATAATAATTTGAAAGTTGTCATCAAGTCGCTGCCGGATAATTTGGGCCGCAGGAAAACTTTTCGCAGCGCTGAATTTTTTCGAAATGAAATAACGTTTTATACAAAGGTTTTGAGATTTTATATTTTTTAATATGATACTGAAATTGAAACTTTTTATCAATTTTTAATTAGAAAATTATAAAAAACAAAATTTAGAAAAATAAATTCTATGTGTAAAAAATTTAAAAATGTTATTTTTGAAAAATAATATTGAAGAATTAATTTATTTTTCAAGAAGAAGAAGAAATTATTGTTCGAATTTTTAAATTGAAAGATTCATTTTAAAAAAATAATCATGCTGTAGAAAATTTTAAAAATTTACTTTAAATTAATGGATGATTTTTCAATAAAATAATTAATCATAAAATAAAAAAAGATTATAAGATTACTAAAATTAATTTTTTTATAGGTAATGCCGTTATTTAGATCATTTCTAACATCAAAAAACCAGAATCATTTGCTGCTGGTACCGGACTGTTACGCTCATATTTTGGATGGCGAAAACGACTTTATTGTCTTAGAAGACGTGACAACCCGAGGATTCGGTCCAGCTTCGAGGCAAAGTACTTTAAGTATCGAAGAATTCGAGCTTATCCTGAAAGCTATGGCGAGATTCCACGGAGTTTCTTTTGCTTGCAAAGCCAATGACTCCAAAAAATTTTCAGACGTCTCGAATCAGTTGATAGAAACTTATTTCAGCGACAACCATTGGGATTGGTACAAGACTTTCCACGTAAGGTTTTCAATTAAATTACCAATTAAAAATGTTATAAAGATTTTCATGGATTAAATTTTTTAGGGAGTCGCAATTAAAATTGCAAAGGACGCGATGGAAAAAGAATATCCCGAAACAGAAGAGCAGAAAAAATTTTTAAGCATCCAGGGCAATGATTTGTGGCGCAAAAGTGTCCAAGTTTGCTCTCAAACTACGACACCATCATCAGTAATAAACCAAGGAGACGCTTGGGCTCCGAATTTCCTGATGCGCAGCACTGAGTCTGGAGAAAAAGAAGCTTTGCTTCTAGATTTCCAGCTAGCGAGATGCGCTAGTCCAATTGCTGATCTTTCATTCTTCATTTATTCTTGCTCAGACACAAGATTGCGCGAAATTCATTTTGATAAACTGCTTGAGTTTTACTACAAGCATCTCGCGGAGACTATCAAGGTTCTCGGGGGTAATCCGGATAATATTTATAGCCGAGAAACATTTTTTGGTGAAGTACAGAAAGAATTTGGACATGGATTGAACTTTTGCTTGGAATCAGTCCCTCTGAGTATGTTAGAAGAAGATGAACTGTTTGAGTTAGACGAAATTCAAGGAACCACAGTGGATCTCGCGGATGTTTGGAAACTAAAGCCGATTGAAAATAAAGAAAAGAGAAAGCGGCTTGCTGACATTATCATGCACGCGATACAACATGATTTTATATAAAAATAAAACGTTTGTTTTAGAGATTGAATGAAAAGTTGTATTAACTTATAATTTATAATATTCAATTTCTGAATAAATATATAAATGATTTGTACACAAGCTTAAATATTATATATATTTATAGTGACAACGAAGTATTTTAAAAATAGAATATGCGTGACCACAGTGTGGTATTGTAATAAGTAATAATTTATCTATAAAGATTTATCGAGTTTACTTAAGGCATTGTGGATGACAGCCACTTTGCTAATTTAACGGTTCAAGATTGAGAGTTTAAGCTTTTTTTTAAGCAGCTAGATGTAGCTCTTTAGCAAGTCCACTGGCATCAAATACGATATTATCGTCGTCGTCTTCTTCGTCAAGAGGCAGTGGTCGCATTTCGATGTCTTGTTTGTTTGCAAGTATTCCATATTTTCTGACCATTTGTGCTGGACTGTTGCGTAATCTATAAAGAGTATTATTGATAATTTATCTTGGATATTATTGTTAGTTTTATAATTATTCTAAATATATTTTATGAGAAACATCTTTCTTGATTATAACACTCCAATTACTGAAAGTTTTAATTTTGAGACTTATGAAATAATACAGAGTAAATAGACAAGTGTTGATGGAATAGACTACTATTATCTAATTAAAATAGAAAAGTTTAGTGAACACTTGAGGAAATACACATGTGTTTTATTTTATAATACCAACTATCATTTTTAAAATTCAATTATATTAATTATTTTTTGTGAAACTTTTTAAATTAAAGAGTCTAGTAATCATTTTAATAACATATTATTAAAACGATCAATTCTGATTTAAAACTTCTAAATAATTTTTTCAACAAAAATTTACACAAATTACTATGTTAAATTTAGAATCAATTACTTAATATTTGCCCTGAAAAAAATAAGTTGAAACTAGATTATCGTTATCAATAACGAAATATTTTTAATTACTACCTCAGGCGATCAATTAAAACTATCAAAGAAGCAAAATGAAACTTGTGATTAAAAATGAAATATATTTTCTGAAAATTTAATCTCCTTAGCAATAATTTTTTTCTAAAAATTTTTATGGTACAAAAAGAATAAATTTTTAGAAATTCGAATTAATACTTAAAACTCCAATTAAAATATTTAAATTATTCGTTATTATATTTTAGTCATTTATTTTATTTGTAATGTAATGAATCATGAGTAACCACAATTATGTGGCTAGTTGATCGATAAATGAAAAATATCATTAGAAATACCAGACTCTAGACTTATAATATACATAAAATTGTTTTATAACTTTTTGTTGTATGTAATTTTTTTTCAAAATATTTACTTAGTTTTTTTTTTTTTAAATATAGAAATTTATGATACTGAATTTTATCAATAAGTTACTTTCAGTATCATAAAAAATAATTACCTTGTAGAACGAAATATTAAATAGGCGACACCAATAACACTGAGGCCAAGGAAAACATAAAAAGCTCTCATCATAGCCCCAGAATCTAGAGATGGTCCATGACCGCTAGGAAGCTGAAGTAAACAAATTATCAATAACAAAATTGAAACAACTCAAAATACATAAATCAACAAATATTGTATATTAGTAAAAAAAAAAAAACACTTACCACAGTCTCAGCAGTTTGATTAGCATTCTGCACAGCAGTGCTTTTATTTTTCAAAGTGCTTGAGTTTATTAATTTATCAATATGTTTATTATCACTTACTGATGAAGATGAACTATGACTATTTAATGAATTATTTAAAGTTAAATTACTGATAATTGTAGCATTGTTGTGATTATCAAGCTTCGTTTGATTGTTAGCCGGTAATTTCGTATAATTACCGGCACTAACACTCGGAACGTCACATCGCGACAGGTTAATCAGGATAAATCCATAAATAATGACCGCTGATGTCGACAACGATCGTGATAAAGTCAATGATAGTAAAGATTTAAATTTAATAAAAGAACTAGACGACTTCATTGCCCTGGATGCTTCCCCTTCATACGTGACAGTCTTTTAATCGACAGTAAATTCCACAAATAAACAGGCGACAGCTTGTATAAGTAATTAGATTTTTTAAGTAACATTACCACCTCCACGAATTGTTATTTATTGACAACTCAATGTACTTGATTTTTTATTTATTTACCAACACATTACTAGTGCGTAAAATGATTCACGATTTTCCTAACTCTGTCCTGGAGTTTATGTGTGTGTTCATTTGGATTTTAATTTTAGACGTGATCAGTTTTCATAGCTTGTTATTTTCATTTTTTTAATGATATAAAAATATACTTGCGCAATGAGAACATACCTTTATTTATGTAGTTATAATGGAACTGGAGACAACAGCATCATCAACGTTGAATTACTCCACTTGTTACTTGTCCGGCTGCTAGCAAGTGAGGTGACGCTTCTGATTTACTGCTTCTAGAATTTTCTACGCAACTACGCAGCTAGATTTTAAATACTCGCGCATGCGCAGTAGTCATTCTGCGCAGAGGTCGCTAGCTTGTAGTTTTGAGACAAGCGTCGGTTACGGTAAGGCAGTGGAGACGGTTGCTGCTATTGTGACTCGTGAAAACAATAGAAAGAATTGACAATTGTTACAGACATAAACAATAAAATAAATACTTTTCAATAATGACAACAATAAGTACCTATGTTCTGAAAGTAATATATTTTTATACGCGTATTATAAATAAAAATCGGTAGGAATTAAATAGAAAAAAAAAGTGTCTTTTCACATGTAAAAAAATCCTGACAAATTCACGCAGCGTGAATATAAGGGCTTGTACATTCACGTTGCGTGATTTAAGGCCCTTATATACATAACACGCGGCGTGGATCTATCGGGACTTTTTTATTAACGTATGAATAGACATGTCTATATATAGAAAAATAAACGGCGAATTTTGATAATAATTTTATACGTCATTTACAAAAAAGATTGATTCTATGTGCGTACTGATTTAAGTCAATGACTATTGCGGTTTATTTTTATTTTTATGTATTAAAATTTAGTTTGTTTGGAAATAAAAAATTTTCGGTAGTTTTGTACAGTGGAAAAAATTAGATGTCGAGTTTATAATTTATAATTAAAATTCGGTAATCAGTGTAATAGTGACAGAAATAATTTTTATAAGTCAATTAAAAGAAAATTAAATGAAGATTATTAAAAATTATATGAAGATTATTAATGGTTAGTATGCATAGATAGTTTTAATAATTTCTGGTCAATGATCATAATTTTTATATTTTTTAGGTTTCTACGTTGACTTGAGGAGAGTGCTAACATAGGAGAGTGCAGTTTGGTGAGTCATTTTTGAAAGTAATAAACTATCAAAGATAAAGTAGTAACTGGTTTTTTATGTCAAATTAATTTAGCTAAAAAGTTTAGGTAGGAATATATTCGATGTAAGATAAATTCAAACCATAGTTCTTCATTGAGCAAACATATTTTGATCAATTTTAAAGATTAGCTGAGTTGAGCAAGAATTATATTTTTTCCCCCATTAAAAAATGACTACAGGTATACGTTTAATAGTGTTGAATAAATCAGAGATTTTAGGCAGGAATTTGTTCCTCTTGGGGAATGTCCATGTTTATATCTATTTTGTCCAGCATCACACGCAAAGTTGTAAAGTATGAAAAAGTTCTCGACAAAAACTGCAATTTAATTTAAATTATTACAATTATTTACTAAATTAAAAATGTAAGTAGATAAAGGTGTTATATTGCATTGTCTTTAATATAATTTTTTGAATTATTTATACATGGAAGAAAAAGTATTAAATACATTTTTTTGTATATTTTTCAATTGACTGATCAAACTTTTCTTGGTAATTTTGATCATTTAGTTCTAAAGTTAATCAAAAGTGTTTTTTAGACTACATAACACCTCTATCTACTTATATCTTCAATCAATTGATTGTCACGAGTATTACCATCATAAAGTATCGTAGAGAAAGTACTGGTAATATTCCTGGGACTTCAATAGTTACCGGTGTTTGTGATCTCTGCATTACAAATATTATACCACTGTTCAGTTCTTTTGAGTTTTGAACCCAAGCGGATTCATACAGTGACATCCCAATTTTTTCGCACTAAAAGTTATCAATTTTATTATCAGCAAAACAGTTAGGGATTATAAAAATACTACCATCTGCAAGACATTTTCTGCTGGCCATGAAGTAATGTAGAGTGTCGAGGATACAATTACCCAGGAAATCATGAATGGAACTTTGAAAGGTACTGGTTCATTCTATTGTTGATTTTATAGATCAATTGAAAATTTACTTGTATTATTTTATTGAGTGATGTTGTTCAATTAAAGATTTATTCTTACTGAAACAATATGGACTCCGCTGGAAATCGCTGTTAGTACACAAGTACAGCCAGTTGCTGCAAGAATACCACGGCTACTGATGGCTATTTCTTGAATGTACCTAGTTGAATTGAAAAGTAATTTTTAGAATCTCATAGAGTGTATCTTCAGTGCCACTGCAGAGCCGGGGTTCCGAAAATACAATTTTTTTTTTTTTTTTTTTTCAAGTTTTAAATTATTCAAGAAGTGAATAAGGTCTTATAAAACTTAATTGAAATTTTATCAATCAAATAGTAATTAATTTTGATAATTTGTTTTCAACAATTCATTAAAGTTATTCACATCAGTCATTTTATTCGATATAACTTTGTAGTTATACTGACAAAATTAAAAAGAAAACCCAATTTTCAAATTATCAATAAATTGTTTGACAAGTAATTAAAAAAATAAAGATTTATTTTTAAATTTTAGTTAATCAAATACAACTGGTTCAGTTTACAGACATTTGAAATTCCAAAAATTTTTTTATATTTTTATAAGTATCAATACTTATTTATTGTCCACGAAGCAAACAAGTTCTGTTAGTTTTAAAAGATAACACAACTCTTTTTTAGTGATTTTTCCGCTCTTCACCGAAATGAAAAATTTCTTAAAATAATTGTTTAAATATTTCTTCTCTATTTTCTTTAAATATTGAGCATTAAATGACCAGAGTTAGAAAGAATTAAAAATAATCAACTTCGCAGAAAATTTTATAAAAATTACCATAATAAATACTGGTGTTTCTTGACACATTCAGCAAACTGTTTTTCATCTGTAACATTTTTAAATTCATCACTCAAAAGTTCAAGTCTCGCACCAGCGTACCACAATAACAGCGCGATTTGGCAGTCAAACGCCGGAATAGAAAGACAATGAATAGTCGCACAACTTTGATGCAAATAAAGCAATTCATAAGTAGGATGTCCATCAATCGGAAACGGATAATCCGCGATATTTGGAAATGGCTGAGGTAATGCGAGCGGTGCTAGAATAATTATATGAATAATCAGCAATCCGCTTCCCATGACAGTCAAGTGCAATTTTCCACAACGTTTTATGTATTTTACAAATAATTCTCTTTCATGAAGCTCTGCTTTCTCTACGTATTTTTCCATGTCGTGCAACAAATACTGAAATCAAAAAGAAAAAATCGTCAAGTCAAAAGTATAATAGTTACAAATTATGAAGCTTGAAAAAACTTTAATTAAATTTTATACAATACCCGCATCCTTTTGTAGTGAACTTTACAAAAAAACATTTTGACAAATGTTTGACTGGTATTGGAAATGTCAAACAGCGATTTCGTCAAGTTCAAAATATTCTGATACTGGTTGTGTGCCGCGTAACACATCGTCATGCAAGCCGTGATGGCCAGAAAAAATGTCGCCCACCATCTTATCTGGAAAATTACGAGCTTCCACTTTGGCGTGCCTTCGTAATTTGGCCATGACGTACCTAGTAATGCTATAAGTTTAGTGAACTTTATTGCAAACTCCGGAGTTGCTTGAAATACCATTTTAGACAGAATGCTTTCTGAAGGAATGAGTCAGCGTTTGAATGAAGACTTAGAACGCTTGCTTCAATTTTATGCTATAATTTTTGTAATTGTTGTTGCATATTTGATTACCTTCTAAGTTTGGATGTACAGAAAGTAAATTACAGTCCACTGGTATCGATAATCAAAAGTTTTCAAAAAATTTGAATTTATAGAACGGTAATTATGCGTTTAATTAAATACAAATCAACTTGGTGCAAGTAATTGATATATTTCAATGGATAATTATCTACTCGCATATTTAGAGGTAAGTATAGAAAATTTGATGGTTGATAGCTTTGTTATGATGACGTGTTGGTAACCCAGACGAATCGGAGCCACTAATTACATGGTGTAAGATAATTAGTCGCTTATTCATGTAATTTTTGTATGTCGGGAGATGTGTAATTTTGAGGGAGTAGATAATTGCTGGTGAGTTTTGGTGGGGATTAGAATTCAACTTTAGTAGAGCATACCTCAGTAGGAGTTTGATATGCATTGTGAAAAGTAGGCTTTAAGAGGTGCCTTGTGGCTCCTGTAATTATTCAAAAGATATTTATTAGCTGAAGAGAAAAAATTTTTTTTGGATGACTTCTAACTATATTTTGATTGTTGAAACGTTTTTGGTGATTCAAAAGTTGTTTCAATGTTGGATTAGTTAAACTATCTGAAAGTAATTATTATAATTGTAAGTTAGTAATTTGTTTAGTGTGATTTTTTTCTTGAAAAAAATTTATATCAAAAATATATAAAAATTTTCTTTCAAGCAGATAGTATTTTGAATACACTTTCGTACATATTTTTTTTTTTATAAAGTTTGAAGTGTTTTTTTTTTTTTAATTTTGAACAAAACATTGTTAGCTGAAATATCGATGAACTTGGCTGAAAATAGTGACGTCCTGAGTTAAATTGGTAAAATTCTTGAATGACTAACTTGTTCTTAATCTTCAGTTATATATTCTTGACTCGTGAGGAAATTTCTCTTAAAAAAAAATTATGAGAAAATTACACACACATACACATACTTCAGGACAATCTTGTAGGAATCATCATAATTTTTTTCTAGGCCTCCAAAACACAAAGATCTGATGATAACTCAATTTTTAAAATTTAAAGACATAAATATTGTCCCAAATTTTGAAAATTATTGATTCTTACCGTGGGAAATTAAAAATTCTTCATTATTAACGCATTCAATATTGTTTTAGTGTTTTTTTCATTAATGAATTCTTTTCATTCATTTTACATAAAAAATAAGATAAATTCAAAAACATCAAAACCTCTTTTTCATATTATTTTACTTATGTTTTATTATCTTTCTTCAAAAATACTAATTACTTTTAACTTACACGACTACTGATACAATATTTTCTATTATCTGTGAACAAATTTGTGATACATTATTATATTATAACTTTAATCCTGTCTTAATATCTGATGCAATTTTCTACGTGAGTTATCAACAAGACTACGTTAGAATCAACATGATTAATCGATCTCCATTTTCGATAACATAACACGCAGGGTAGTAAAATATGAAAATATTTTAGACAGGAACTGAAACAAGAAAAAAGTTACTTATAATATTCATATTCATTCGTTTTTATTTGAAGATTTTATACACACTGTTGCATAATATGACAACGAAAGCGAGGGTAATATTCCAGCGACATCAATGCTTGCGACTTTCTGTGATCGTTGTATTACAATTAGAACACTTGTGTTCATTTGCTTGGTGTTTTGAAACCAAGGTGAGTTGTACAATCCTATTCCTACGATTTTGCACTAGAAATTTGTGTAAAACTTCTGAGATTATTCTAACTTTACTATTTTATTACTAAAAATAAGAGGATGAATTCCTAAATACCATATGAGCAAGATGTTCACACGGCCAAGCAGTCACATAAAGCACTACGCTTATGATCGCTGAAGCAACGACGAAAGGAACTTTAATAGCTACCGGTTCATTCTAACAGAATTTTAAGTACTTTTAATAACTTATTTGCGTAACAAGCTACTGTTTTACAACTTTATTTTTCAAATTTTACAACCCGAATTATTCAATAACAAAATTTCTTTAATTGAAATATTAAAATTTTTCCTAATTTTGAAACATTGATATTGCCTATTTTTTTGATGTATCAAAAATGGATAGAAATAAAATTTTAGCGATAAAAAAAAATTGATAAATTAACTTATCGACAAAAACAAATTAGATTTCCATAAAATTAAATTTAATAAATATTTTTGGATTTGAAAAGTCCTATTTTTTCATGTTGCGCATTGAAAGTAGATCAATTAAAAAAAAATTGTTTTTCGATACATTAATTTTTGAGAATCTTTTTGAATAAATTAAATTATGACTATTCCTTGTTAATTTCGTTTGTTGTTTCTTGTTAATTCCTTGTTGTTTCGTTTATCTACTTGAATTTATAAATATCAAAAAAAAATTGACGTATCGAATAATTATTTTTAAAACAAGTTATAGGTACTTTCATAAATAATTGAAGATCAAAATTATCTAAATTTGAGGACTTACTTTTCAATTTCTTATTAAAAAAGTTCTTAAATATACTTAAGGGGACCCGGTGGTCTAGCGGCCTAAAATTTAAGCTATTTTTTTAAAATTTTATTTCTATATGAAGATGATGACTAATGCTTTCAAATTTTTTTTTACACTTATTCTATTACTTATCAACTACACAAAAATGAAAATTAAGACAAAAAAAATTTTTTTTAAATTAGAAAAATGACGCTGAAGTTCCCCTCTCCAAAAAAATGGACCTGACTGGTGGTAATGATTGATCCCTCCCTCTGATCTGAAATAAAAAAAAAATGACGGATTTTTAATTAGTATAAGTATGGTTATCGCAGGCACTAGAACAAAAAAAAAATATTCGACAAAATGGCGCGTAGTCTAAAGTATTTTCTGAAGACGAGTTTCAGATTCGTACTTTTAACTACGCGCTATTTTGTCCTAGAACAAAAAAAAAATATTCGACAAAATGGCGCGTAGTCTAAAGTATTTTCTGAAGACGAGTTTCAGATTCGTACTTTTAACTACGCGCTATTTTGTCAAATATTTTTTTTTTTTTTCATTCTAGTTCCTGCGTTAACCATACTTATACTAATTAAAAATCCGTCATTTTTTTTTATTTCAGATCAGAGGGAGAGATCAATCACCACCACCAGTCAGGTCCATTTTTTTAGAGAGGGAAACTTCAGCGCCATTTTTCTAATTTGAAAAAAGATTTTTTTTTGTCTCAATTTTCATTTTTGTGTAGCTGATAAGTAATAGAATCAGTGTAAAAAAATTTGAAAGCATTAGTTATTATCTTCATAGAGAAATAAAATTTTTTAAAATAGCTTAAATTTTAGACCGCTAGACCACCGGGTCCCCTTAACCCTTCGTCGGTCACGCTATGAGCGCGGTGCCGCCTTTTTTATAGTTTGTTTTTTTTTCTCAGAAATATTTCAAACGAAAGTTTTGAAAAACAATTCAATTCCTTCTTTTAACCATTTTGAAAATTTTAGTGTCAAGAATATGTCTCAAAATATTACAAAAAAAATATAAGAAATTGAATTTTCATCACAGAAAAAGCCCGACGCGAGTGAGCAGTAGACTTTTTTAAATATATCTTGCTATTGTTCCCTTTAAATAATACGGCAGCGCGACGCTCACCACGCGACCTAACTCGGCTGGAAAATGCATGCGACCTACGAAGGGTTAATATACCCCAACAATATGAATCCCACTTGTAATGGTAGCCAACACACAATTTATGACAGTAGTCGCAAGAATGTGACGGCTACTGATAACAATATCTTGAATGTACCTAAAAAATTTCAAAAATTTTTACGTAGAAATCAGATCAAAAACTCCTTGAAATTTTTACAAAAACTACCCCAATAAGTATTGATGTTTCTTGACGCACTCATTGAAGGATTTATAATCAGCGGCATCATGAAATTCTTGGCTCAAAAGCTCAAGCCGTGCCCCAGCGTACCACAGGAGTAATGCAATTTGGCAGTCGAAAGTCAAAATAGAGAGACAATGGATGGTAGCGCAACTTTGGTGCAAATATATCAACTCAAAAACAGGATGTCCTTCAGTAGAAAATGGATACTCCACGATATTGGGAAATGGCTGAGGCATTCCAATAGGTGCTATTATTATCATGGCAATTGTCATAAATCCACATATCATTGAAACTACGTGCAATTTTCCACAACGTTTTATGTAAAGTATGAACATTTCCCGGTCATGAGGTTTAGCATTAAGAACATACTTTTCCATTTCCCACAACAAATACTGCAACAATAAACACAAAATAAATTGATAATCTCCAAAATTCGTTAGTCAAAAATAACAAACCTGCATTTTTTTGTAATGTATCTTGCATAAAATCATTTTGACGAAAGTTTGGATAGTGTTGACAGCATCAAAAAGAGATTTTGTGAAGCTTAATATGTTTCGCCAGTGGTTATAAGCCCCATAGCACATCGGCAAAAAGGCTGATACTGCCAGAAAAAATGTTGCCCACCATCTTATTTGAAAGACAACGAATTTCCACTTAGGAGAGCCTGGATAGTTTGGCCACGAAGTACTTAGCAGTGATGTGAACTTAGTGAAGGCTATCGCGAACTCAGGAGTTGCTTTGAAAATCATCTTCTGGTGGTTCGGTTACGAATGAGTCAGTTCAATCAAAATAAGACTTGCGTATTAAATTTTGTTCGAAATATATACCCTATAATTTACTAAGCATCGATTTATTATTCCATAATATATTCATGAGTCTAAAACGGTTTTAATATGTAACCTGCAATTATACCTCGCACCCTACTTGTCGTTTCAAAACAAATTTCTTTTCAAAAATTTCAAATCTTCCGTTTAAAATTTTTTTCTGCGAACTACTTTTAGTTACACATAATAAAACAAAAATTTTGATCTTTATTTTTTATGGTTACAATTTTTTTAGACATTAAATTATAATCAGGAGCAATTTCAAAGTATTTAACTTTTGAAATGCCCTGTAGGAAATAATGAAAGGGTTGTAGACTAAGCGGTGTCGATAATAGTTCGTTTAGGTTTATAATCATTTTTATAAATATTAATAAATTCACCCCTATGGAAGGAAGAAGAACAATGAATCTATTTCTGTTAAAATTTTTTGCAAGATAATTACCAGGTAGAAGCTTTTATACGAAAGGGTTGTTAATATAATTTTATATTTAATAGCGATAATAGAAATCAGGTGCATTCACCTGCTTAGTTGCAAAATCAAAATAAAGGGATGTATTTCCGCGCATGAATATTAAGGCTTGAAAATAATATATTTAGCCTATCATTATACCTTTAAGTAAAGAGGTGCTTAGCTAGATAATAGCTATGTTTAGTCTGACATTATCGAGCCTTATAACTACCATTATCCACTTACTCACTCTTCAATCACATTTTATAGTTTTTAAGTATCAAATTATTTCTATTTCATAAAGTGTGATTGTTCAAAGTAAGTCATAAAATTTTGATTATTATATTTTAAAGTAATTTACTTTGAATTTATGTATAACTAGCTGTCACCCGATGCGGAGTGAATTTTATTATTAATAAAAATTAACTCCTTCTCGGAGTAAATATCACTCCCGCTGGGAGTGAATCAATTAAAAATCATTCACTCCTCATTCACTCCGCGTTCACTCCGCAAATTTTTTACAGTGTAATTACCTGTTTCTCTTGAGATACTATGAAATTTTATATCTGTAGAAAATATATTTGAAGAATATGAATTTTTTGACAACTATCACTCCCGCACTCCTTTGTGAGAGAGAAATTTCGTAAGATCCTATTTGAGATGATTTTTACATTATAAATAGAATATTCCAACAAAACTTCGAGCCCATGGAAACTATTGTTTTGAAGAGAGATTTTCATTGTTAACGCCTCCGCAGTCCCTTTTGGGGTTGGAATTTGATAAAATCCGTTCTTAGCTGAACTTGACATGATACACGAAGACTCCCACCTAATTTGAAGTCTGTCGAAGTTACAGTTTGGAAATTAAAATTTTAGATTTTAACACCCACCCCCGCAATTTCTATCGGAAGTAAACTTTATTGAAATCCATTTTGAGATGATCTTTACAGGAGAAATAAAAGATTTCTACCAAATTTAGAGTTTTCAGAAGCTATATTTTGGAAATGAACATTTTTTATTGTCAACACCCACTCCCGCGATCCTTAATGGAGGTGATTTGTTGTAAAATCCATTCTTAGACCATTTCTATATCACATATAGAAGATTCCTACTAAATTTGAAGTCTATAGGAGCTATAGCTTGGAAATTAAAAATTTTCATTGTTAATACCCACCCCCGCAAACCCCTATGAGGTGAGCTATCATAAAATTTGTTCCTATATTATTTCTACATCTCTTATATATATATAGATTACGCTATTTATTGAAGTGCAGTGTTTTTGGATGACGTTTGTACAAAGATAATTTCTAGTTTATTCAACAGTGATTATATACAAGTGCATAGACTTAATGTCTAGAGTAATAAAAATTAATTTTTGTTAATTTTAGTCAATCTAATTAACATTTCTGCTTGAATTACATTGAGTGATTAATTAGCCTTCCATTTTGTCCAACACTACTCGCAGCGTTGTGAAGTATGAAAATGTTTTCGATAAAAACTGAAACACATTTTATTATTATTTTTGATTATGATTGATAATTATGATTAGTTAATTATTAAATACTGTTGCGTAGTAAGGCAGCGAAAGTACAGGCAGGACTCCGGTTACTTCAATGGTCGCTGGCTTTTGAGATCTTTGTATTACGATAAAAATACTTTTATTCAGTTCTTTTGAATTTTTTATCCAAGGAGAATTGTATAACGCAGTCCCTATATTTTCACACTGAAAAAAATTTATCTATTATTGACTTTTGATTTCCAAAAGTCCCTTCGATAATTATTAGGCGCTTGAAGAGCACTACCTTTATAGAAAAGTTTACTAGTTTCAAATGAAAAAAATCTTAAGGCAAAAAAACCATTTTAAAGAATTTATTTTTCTTACATCAAGTAGAAAAGTTTTCGAACTTGAAAATTTTCATCCTTCAAGTCAATTTGACTTAGTTCAAATACTTTTCTGCTTGATTCAAAATAATATAATTCTTCAAAATAGTTTTCTTCGTTAAAAATTATTTCTCTTGAATTAAGTTAATTTTTGTGTTAGTTTGCTGATTTAGAAAAAACAAAAGAAATATTCTCGGAAGTCTTTTATAAATATAAAATAGTTTTCAAATTAGTTTTTCGCTTCCTACTTTTACCATGCAAAAATTAGCTTGATTAATCAAGTTTATTTTTCTTTTTAATTATCTATCTGCTCAAAAATTCTTAATCCTGTTATCTAAACAAAAATTTTTTTCTGTGTACTCTTATGCATTAAGTAAAAAGGTACAATCACCAGCTTGAAGCTTCCCTATCATGAAATTTCTAACTCAATTGATAGAATATTTTATTCATACAACAACAGCGTCGTATAAACTCTTACCATTTGCGAAAGATGCTCAGATGGCCATGCACAAAGATACAACACCGCCGATAACCCCATCGACAAAACAACAAAGGGTACTTTATCAGCCACCGGTTCATTCTGTTAAAAACTTAAAATATTAAAAAAAAATTTATATAAGATTACAAATTATACACTGACATAAGGATATTTTAATAATTTATAAGCTTTATTTAATGTCAATAAATATATGTTAAGTGTTGAATGTTCTTTTCTTTCAAAAAAAATGTTAATTAAAAATTGAAAAATGAATAAATTGTTTCTAAATAATTGAATTTATTAACAGTTAATGAATTCTTTTATCAATGCATAAATTAAAGATCATATCCAACAAAATTTTACCCCAACAATATGAACTCCACTGGTGATGACAGCAACCGTGCACATAACAACCGTCGTTGCTAAAATATGACGACTACTTGTTATAATTTCTTCGATGAACCTAGACAGCACATTAAATATGAGTCAAAAACTTTTATACCACTAAAAATATTAATTACCACAATAAATACTGATGTTTTCTGACACACTCTATGAACTGGTAGTTGCTGGTGACATTCTGAAACTCTTCGCCCAACAATTCCAGTCTTGCACCAGCGTACCACAGCAACATAGCGATTTGGCAGTCAAAAACCGGAATTGACATGCAATGGATAGTCGCTATGCTTTGTTGCAAGTAGATAATCTTAAAAGTTAGGTGTCCATCCACAGGAAATGGATATTCAGCAATATTGGGAAACGGCTGTGGGGCACTTAGTGGCGAAATAATGATCACAAATGCTGCAAAAACAGCAGCCATCATTATCGTCACGTGTAATCTTCCACATCTTTTGATGTAATTTATGAATAATTCTCTTTCATTATTTCCTGCTTGAGCAATATGTCCTTCCATTGCACAGAAAAGAAACTGAAAAATAAATTTATAAAAATTAACAAACAATCAATTAAAATTTGCACAAAGTTGTTAATAATAACTATCAAATGATTAAATTATAAATGAATTCACAATAGGAAACCTGAAGTTTTCGAAAATGTATTTTGCATAAAAACATTTTGATGAAAGCTTGGCTACAATTGGCAGCGTCACACAATGACTTTGTAAAACTCAATATATTATTGGTATTGTTGTACGCGGCGTAGCACATCGGCAGAAATGCCATTATTGACATGATCCAAAAAAACCACCATTTTATAGTAAAAACAATGAGCTGAAACTTGCTCGTTCCTTGGTAGTGAGGCCAAGAACTGCCAAGTATCGAAGTGAATTTGGTGAAGGCGATGGCAAACTCTGGGGTTGCTTTGAATATCATTTCTTCTGGTGGTTCGAAAACGAATGAGCTGATTATTTGTGTGTGAAGGGTGTGAACCCTCGGTGATACCAAAGATAGCTTCAATACGTCGATTGGTAATTACTGGTCTGCTACATAGTTGATTAGCTTCAGCCGAAGTTTGCAGTAATGAATTGATAATCAGTAGCTCAAAATACACTTTTAGCGGTGAAAAGGGTTGAAGTGATAATTCCGTAGGCTAGCCAGACAATGTGGAGCCGCTGATGATAGTGTCAGTGGTGCAATTAAGTATTCAAATATTTAGATTTGCGAAATTGTGGGTCTAAGCTACAATTATGAAGAGTGTAGCTGCTGCGGAAATTCAACGTATGAAATTAATTATTTGAGCGAAATGTTTGGATAGTCTTAGTCTCTAGTAATAATTCATAGCCTTTGGGGTAGTGTAAAATTACACTAATTATATGTTAGCTTTTTGATGAAGTGGAGTTCGTTCACCTTGATGATTTTTTTGCGAAAATATCGTCCAGTGTAAGTCTATGGAGGGTAGTGAACTTCGTACATTGTAACATCTGTTGTAGCAAAATTGAATAAGAGGATTTCAAACAAAGATAGGTGAATAGTGTGGGGGTGGACGAATTCATTCTAGTGCTGTTGGGATTAGAGTATGATAGTTTGTTCTGAAATTAAATATCCCATTAAGTTAGATTTGGTTCAAATTTTTATTCTATTTTTTTAACCATTTTTAAAGGCTATACAAATTATTATTTTATTTTTATTTTTTTTTTCGATATAATAATTAGTTATATTATTTTGACGTTTTTGCCATTTTCGGGTTTATAAAATCTCAATAATATTCCAGTGTTAATCTCTTTTGATAACAATATTCTCATAACATAATACTGTAAGATTTCTCATATAAGATAAATGAATCAAAAAAAAATTTATTATGAAGATAAGTTATTTATCAAGAAAATTCATGAATTTTTTCAATCAAATATATCTATATAATGCATTTAATTAAAAAAGTTTTGGAAATCTTGATCGAGAAAATAAAAATTAAAAAATATAAATAAAATCAACTAAGAATATCTAATAGTTAATTAATAATCATTTGCAAAATCGCAATCATTTAAAACAAAATCAGTTCTTCTCTATCAACAGCTGCACAAAATGACTTTGTTTTTTTTTTCTCCCAGACGCCAGATGTCTCTGTCTGGATATTTCACTTGCGCACTGCGTATATTTTTCTTTAAATCTTATATTTACCTGCGCCACATACATCTCACATGCACACTTGTCCCTTGTATGTACGTACATTTATTATAACACAGTAGTGTCTGTCGTGTCATTTTCAATTGTCACTTCAAACTGCCAAGTTCAATTTGCCGGATTATTAAAAATTAAACAATACATACATCGTAGATTAAAAATTACTTAAATATTAATTATTTTAAAGTACAAAAATTATTCAGAAATCTAAAAATGAGCTCTGAAATAAATTCAATACCCTACTCCAAAAGTGGAGACAAAGACCAAGATGAGGTTAGTAATTAATAAGATTTTTTTAAACCAATTTAATAAATATTCATTTTATCTTATATTCATCTATCTTTCATTATCGAATTTTATCTCCTATGTACGTCATAAGTATATGTCATATCATTATATTGTTTCACATTTCACCTGAGGTCGTTTCATTCATTATTGATTTCTTGGAGTTTTTATTTATTATTAATTTTCAGCTTTTAAAATAAGATAATTCTTCTTTATTTTTGTAATTATCAATACTGACTAATTTTTTGTTTTTTTATCGTGTGGAAATATTTTTTTATCAAAAAAAATGTATGTTATCATTAATAAACAATTTTCATATTTTTCATGTTTATTAAAAATTAAATATTAAATAAAATTTGGAAAATTTTTTTTTTTAGTTTAGAAAACATTTACCAATTTTGTAAATCAGAGAAAATTTTTTTTTTGGTTTTTTTCAAATTTTTAAAATTATGTTTTCTTCAAATTGTTTAAATCATTAAATTTTAGATTCATGTTTAATTATTTTTTTTAGAATTATTAAATTTTTTGTTTTTTTTTTACTCCAACTTTCAAAAAAAATTTCTTAAATTCTTTAATATTTAATAAAAAAATTTTAATAAAATACAGAAACTATTACAACCATTCACTTACATCCTCCAAGTTCCTGGGAAACAAATCCGAGCAAAATTAGCACATGCCATGAATTGCTGGTTAAAAATTCCAGCGGAAAAATTGCAAGCCGTGGGAGATATTGTGCAAATTCTCCACAACTCAAGTCTTCTGTAAGTAAAACTCAATGAACTTCCTGCATCAAAATTAACATTACTCATTAATACAATTAAAAAAAAAAAAATTGCACTGGTACTAATTAATCCTACATCTATTTTTTAAATTCTCTGGGTCCGTAAGTAATAGACTAAGCACAATAATTTAACTAATTAAGACAATAATAATAGCTTTAAATTGCAGCTTAGATGACATACAAGACAACTCGATTTTACGCCGCGGAATCCCGGTAGCCCATTCAATTTTCGGTGTCCCAAGTACAATTAACGCCGCTAATTATGCAATCTTCATAGCCCTTGAGCGCGTGCTTGCTCTGGACCATCCGGAGGTACGTGATGAATACATGACTGATGAATAATATCTTCGTGGGTAACGGATATATATCTCTGTAAATTACGAAAAATATAAAAAAAAAAAAGATGTTACCAACGTTTAGTGTAGTTGTGTGTATACAATAATAATTACCCTCAGGCAACAAAAGTTTACACGGAACAACTATTAGAGCTTCATCGGGGACAAGGAATTGAAATTTACTGGCGGGATAATTATATTTGTCCAACAGAGGCTGAGTATCGCCACATGACTATGAGAAGTAAGTTCTTAAAAAATTTTCACTGGAAAAAAAATACTTTAATTATGAAAATTTTCTTGATATAAACATATTTTCTTAATCTTCATGATAATCAATAATTTTCAATAATAATTTTGTAACTTTTTTTTGATCGACAGAAACTGGAGGATTATTTAACCTAGCTATACGCCTAATGCAATTATTTTCGGAATGCAAGGAAGATTTTTCAATGCTGACAGGAATCCTAGGTCTCTATTTTCAAATAAGAGATGATTACTGCAATCTATCGATGCGAGAAGTAACTTTATTACAATATTGACTAAAGATAGTTTGATTTAATAAATTAATGAACTAATCAATGAAATTTATTTTAGTACTCGGATAACAAAAGTTTTTGTGAAGATTTGTCAGAAGGCAAATTTAGTTTTCCAATTATCCATGCTATCCAAACATATCCAGAAGACCGACAAGTACTAAGTATCCTTTTTGAGACAATATGATTGATGATTTAGTGGTTTGTTGGTGAAAAACAACTATGTATTCCTTAATGACAAATCAAAGATATACTAAGAAAAAGAACAACGGACATTGAAGTAAAGAAGTACTGTGTGACTTTGCTGGAAAAGTTCGGCTCGTTCGCCTACACGAGAACAGTTCTCGAGGACCTGGACAAAAAAGCGAGGGACGAGGTTGAGAGATTGGGTGGTAATCCGTTGTTCATAGAGTTTCTAAATAAATTGAGCTGCTGGCCCAAAAATCCGATGTCTCTTGATGTCGAAATGAATGATCTCAGTGCTTCCGATTAAGTTTTGGCAATCGCCAATTCATTAATCAATCCATGTTCTGATGATGAAAAATTATAGATAATTATAATATAATAATATCACTTAAAGTGAAATGTGAGACAATATTAAATGATGGCTTTAATACGCTTTTAACTCTTAACCGAAGTCGAATTTTTTTAGTTAGGGTTTAAACGTTCAAGGGAGATGCTGCGTTATTTACTTACCTAGATAGTTATTTTTAAAATCGTGATTTGTTGAACAAGTTCAGTTGTTATTAAATATTAAAAAACATTTTTTGTTAGAATAACATAGGTTGTAATAACTGATTTAATTTATATGTTACATCAACAAAACAGTTTTGTTATTGTAGCAGAACTCTTAAGTTAAATCAACAATACAGTTTAGCTGAATGAACCATTCGGTTTGTTGAACTAACTAAATTATTGCAAGGAGATAACAAATATTTTTCTTGGTTTAACAAAAATTATTTTGTTTCACTAACATTATCTAGTTAGTTGGCCTAACGAATTTTGTTGTTAAATTAGCTAAATAATTTTGTTAAAATAACTAATTGTAAGAAAAACAATTTTATTTTTTTAAGGCAATAAGTAAATTCTGTTATTTTAACAAAATCAGCTAACTAATGATAACAAAATAATTTAGTTGTAACACTAAACAGAATGATTTGTTGTTACAATTTGGCTCACTTTGTCAAAATAACTAATCTATTTATCATCATATGTAAATTCATTTGTTACTAGAACATATTTTTCTGTAATTCGGTCTTTTAGTATTTTAATGAAAATATTTTTATGAGTGATTCTTAAAATTTAGAAAATTCAGTTCTATAACAACAAATATCAATTTTTTTGAATTAAGCCAAAAACATTAATTCTATTAAATTTCAAAAATATTTTACAACAAATTCCTAAGATCGAAATTTATAAATTTTTTGAATAAAAAAAAATAAAATCTGCAGCTCTCCTGTTTTCCGAATTATCGTAATTAAAACTCTCTACTCTTATAACTATACTAAAAACTAAAAACGAACTACTTGAAAATGCTCAATTAATAATTATTATATATAACTAGACTTCAGTACCATAGTAACTAAATAACAAATAATTAAACAAACTGACAATAGCGACTTTAAGTACATACATGAATAAAACACTCCGACGTATATAGTTAAATATATGTTTATTGTTACTCGCTAATACTTGATAATTACTTAATTAAGTTATTTTAGTCTTATAGGCTAACCATCAATATAAAATAGGTCCAATTAAACATTAAAACCTTAAGTAGTTGTAATCTAATTACCAAATCTGTTCTTAAACTCGAGTCATATCTTAAGATACTTTCTTTATTAACTACTTTTACATTTATTAATTACAATTTAATTCACTTTAAATAATTTAATATATAAAATATATAATAATATTAATAATAAATACAATTATTATAATAGTAATTAAAATTTGATAGCGACTTTACATGAATATTTAAGTATGCGTACAAAAATTGTTACAATAAACAATTTTATAGCTTCACTAAGAAGAAATCTTATTACTTACTCCTCTTTTATTTATTATAAAAATTTATATCATATACATATATATTTTTTTTGTTTTCAAATGAACTTAGTTCATTAAAATTGCAATTGACAATTTTACACGACTTCACTCTCATTCGTATTCTTTTTCGACAATTATGTGTCGGTATTTAACATAAACATGAGAGTTGATTGAAAAACCAGAAATTTTATCTTTACCATTTCCAAAATATTATCCAATTTAATTTTTGTATTATAATTTAAATTTTAACTATTAAAGAAAATTATGAAAATATTCAACACTTTTAAAAATTGAAAGTGTCTTTAATTAACAAATAATAAAAAATTTTTTTCTTTTATAAGAAGGTTGTACCTTGAGTTCATAAAAAAATCTTCCAATCCACTCTAATGAACATATCTCATTTATATATACATTTAAAATTTTAATTAATGTGATGAATGTAACTAGGACAATGTGGCAATTTGACAAGTCTTTTGTTCAGGCTCACTGTCCTCGTCAGTTTCACTGGCCCAAGAGGGCTGTCTTTCGTGTCATATTTCTCCATCGCTGTCACCTAATCTTCCAGTTGGTCCTCCGACTCCATCGTCCAATACTTCTGTTACCTATTATTACATAAAAATCAATAATTATTGTCATTTGATATTTTTATCTGACCAATAACAATTGGACGTTAAAAGCATGATACTGAAAATAGCCGACATATTGTCCGACAATTTTTCTGTTTGAATTTTTGAGCAAATAAATTAGAGGAAATTTCAAAAATTCAACCATTTTTTGTAATAATATCCTTAGAAAAAAAAAAAAAACGCCAGCTGGCTACTTTCAGAATCATGTCTGGTATTATCCACAAATATTTAAGACAATTATGTATAAATATACAAAATGAGTTGGTTAATATTTAACAGCAAGATCGCGGTTGAGTATCTTGAAATTTAATGAATAATTTTCATTGAATTATTAAACTCGTTAGTTTCTCGTACAGCGTTCTGATTACCTGAAAAGTTTAAAATGATCGCTAAAGCTTGAAATATTCAAAATTGCTTTTTTAATCTCCATGAACTTGTATTATTAACTTGTAATAGTTATAATTGACATTATTTTTAGCGATCCTTGAATAGTTTTAATGAATAAAAAATTTTCTTTTATTTGCCAATTTATTTCTAGCGATTTTCGTAATGTATTCTTTAGATAAAGGACTTTAAATGAATTAAGTAATCTAATTTTGAAAGATTACTTTTTTCCAGTATCTTAAAGGAGAAATAAATGGAAAATTTTCCAATGTTTTGCACGCCTCATAGCGCGAAGCGCGTAAGGTACACAGTAAAAGCTGTGTATTATATGTATTATATGTATACATATATGTAAATATATGTATTAAAGCGTTTCAAAAAAAAAAAAATTTTTTTTTTCTCGAAACCAGGTTCAAAAGTCGTTTAGATGCCAAAATAGGCCTCGGAAAATATGAGCCCTTAATATTAATATTAAGGTTGTCCGCCTCGCAGTTTTCGATTTCCCATAAGAATAACACAGGAAAAAAAAATTTTTTTTTGTTCTGATTTTTGTAACTAATGAACCATAAATTGCTCTGCAATTTTCATCAAATATTGTTGTAGAGTATTGAACGCTCTACAAAAAAGTTTTGATATCATTTTTTGATTAATCAACTCATTCAAAAGTTATTCAAGGTCAAAATTAAATTCATTAGCAATTTAGCCGTTTTCTTTATAATCCTCCGAAATTTATGTTTCAAGGTCTTAAAATGAACTGAAAGCAAAATCAGGTGAAAAGTCCACCATGAGGATTAATGCAATAGTTACATTTCTGACGAAATCTACCGAAAACATGAAAATAGTCTATTTCTGACAACTCTACTTTCCATTGTGGTTCAGGCCGAATGGTGTTTTTTAAATTTTACTGTGAATGAAGGTTTTTCTATACAGTTTTAGAAATTCTAAGTATTGATTACAGTGAACGACGATCGGGTATTCTACAGAAACAAAGCTGTTCTCCGATTTCAGCAGCACTGGTGGTTCAATGGTAGAATGCTTGCCTGCCACGCGGGCGATCCGGGTTCGATTCCCGGGTACTTGCTTCGGCAGTACATATACTAAAATTGGAACGATACAGAGAAGATTAGCATGGCCCTTGCGCAAGGATGACACGCAAAATCGTGAAGCGTTCCACATTTTTTTCACTGATGACAATAGAGCATACGCGCCAAATGACCAGATAAATAACTATTTCTGCACTCCAGCAAAAATAAGTAAAGTAATTAAAAATTTACCAAATAAAACTTCAAGTGGCATTGACCACATCCCATCAATAGTAATAAAACATCTCACACCAGCAATAATCAGGGACTACTCAACTCTCTTCAATAATTCACTCAATAGACAGTATTTTCCCACAGTCTGGAAAACCTCAAAAATTATACCAATCCTGAAACAAGGCAAACAAGGAAACATAACATCCAGTTATAGACCTATCAGCCTTGCACCAAACATCAGCAAGGTATACGAAGTAATAATAAATGACTCCATCGTAGACCACTGCAATGAAAACAAGATAATTCCGGACAACCAATTTGGTTTTAGACATCAGCATTCTACCGTACACGCAATACATAAGCTACTGTCGGACGTGATGTCACACATAGACCAGGATCTAATTGGAGCAACACTCATAGATCTCGAGAAAGCCTTTGACACGGTTTGGTTACATGGTTTAATTTAAATACTTATAACTAACAATTTTCCAAAACACCTGATTGGCACAATTTGGAGTATGATCAGTGAAAGAAGTTTCTATACCTGGAATGGAAAAATAAATTCATCAGCGCTGTTCAAAATCCAGGAAGTACTACAGCAGGGCACCGTCAACTCGCCGATACTGTTCAATATCTTCATAAGCCATATCATAAACGCATGTAAATTAAACCAAAATAACAACACATACTCCATTGCATATGCTGATGATCTCATCATTTATGTAGCCGAGAAATATCCTACTAAGTTAAAAAATATACTAGAAACTCTAGTCAACAAGATTAACAACCTATTTGCAAGATGGAATCTACGAGTAAGCCCAGAAAAATGCATGACGATTGTCTTCAGAAAGCCAGCGAGATTTGTTACCAAAGCTAAAAGAGTCAATAATGAAAAGTTCGTCATTGAAACATTCAAACCGGACACTCGAGAACTGACAAAAATCCCGACAAAAAGTGTAGTAAAATATCTCGGCATGAATATTGACTATTTAGCCAAATGTAACGATCACTTGGACCAGCAGCTCATCAAAGCACGCAACTCTTTCAGATCTTTAAACCGACTCTTTCACAACAGACATATTAGCCCCAGGGCTAAAGTGATATGCTATCAGCTACTTATCAGACCACTACTGACCTACGCAGCCCCAGTTTGCTGGAACCTCGGAGCAGCCCAGATGGAAAAGGTGAGAAGATTTGAAAGAGCTTGCCTAAGAACGGCCTTAAGCATGCACAGAAGACCTGAGACTGATTATCAACACCGAATCTGCAACAAGGAAATTTTTGATGCTCCTAACATCCCTAGAATCGACAACCATCAATTAAAATTAACTAGAGATTATTTTAGCAAAACCAAAGATATTAACAACAACATCATAAAAAATTTAAGAGTGACAACTGGAGACACACACATCAAAGCTCAGAAAGGCCTCTTACAGCCCCAAGACTTTACTGTCCTCGACAAACTAGGCTTCATCCAAGATGGATATAATATACCAATACTATATCACAAAAGCCGACACAAAGGTGACAAGTCCATAAATCTAACGACCTTCAAGGACAGCCCAAGCAAGTACTCCATTGCCCTGCCAAAACGTGATCAAATAGATCTCCACAGACTAGACGCTGAAAAATATTGGTGGACATGCAAGGAAACCAATGAATACAAAGATCTCCAAAGAAGAAAATTATTAATAAATAATTAAATAAAGTATAAACTGAATAAATTATTATAATTAGTATTATAATAAGCTTTCATCAATGTATATATGTATATATGTATAAATTCGTAGTTGTAAGTTAGTATAAGATCAAAATTAAGATTTAAACTAGGGTTTTTTTATTTTTCAGAAAAATTTTTCCCATAGTTCATCAAGAAAAAAGATAGTAAATTAAATAGGATTTAATCCAATTAAAATTAATAAAACAAAGCATTAAATATTAATAACTCAAGACAGCAAGGAGCCGAGAGCTGATAACACCAGCCAATGCTTACCTTATAATTTCAAATAGTTTTTAAAAAAGTTTTTTATTTAGTTTGTTAACTTATAATGTACTTGATTGTTTTTGAGTTGAATAAACAAACTTTTATCAAAAAAAAAAAAAAAAAGGTTCGATTTCCGGCTAGTGCAAGCTTTCATTTTGCGAAATTTGAAAATTTTATATTTTTTTGACTGACTCAAAACAACATGCTTTTTAACTCCGTTTTTTCAAACATTAAATTATCACAAAGAACAGAAGAAGTTTGTATGCAAAATTGTGATGCTTCACTTCACACTAATTTTTGGAGAGAATTTTAAGTCTTTTTTCAGTATATTACATCAACATTTTGAGCATTGAAAATCAAAAATCATTTCATTTAATGAAGTTACCTTCTTTAAACATTAAAGGGTTAGGAGTAGTCAGAACTTTCAAAAAATTGATTTGTTTTTTGCATTTTCTTTGCAAAATGACAATAAACAATGAACTTACCAAGACTTCTTCAAATCGATCGTAAATTTCAGGCCGTGCGTTCAAAAGTCTCTCTCCCATTGAATCATTATTTGGCCGATTAAGGGTTCGCTGACTCAGTAAGCTCGAGATGATATGCAGTAACGACAGAGCAGCTAAGAGCCCAGCTGAAAATAAATAATTTTAAAAACAAGACGATAACAATAAGTAAAATTTTTAATATAACCTCCAGTGAGTTATTCAAAGTATGCTTAAATATAAAAGTCGGAAATTAAAAATATTAATAATATTTATATTTTCTCAAGTTAGTTAGGTTAATGTAGTTAATTTTAATTTAAATAGGAGTTCTATTTTATTATTAAACGTCTATCTCAGCACTAAATCTCATAAAGTGGGAAATGAATGTGTGGGTGAAGATTAAGAACTACCGGGTGTAGAGCTAAAAGCCGGGGTATAGTAGTAGAGGAAACCCTCTAGAAGTATGTATGTGAAGTAGCTACCTGTAGTGGTAGCTAAAGGATGAAGGAGAAGATGAAATAAAACAGGATACGAATAAACAACGACTGAGCTTTTCATTTTCAGTCTTTGGTTACTCTTACCGGCTACAAAAGAGAGCCACAAGTTGTGCGGTTTCCATGCCAAAATACTCGACAGTGGAAGGTAAAACAATGCTCGTCTCCAGCCTTTTGTCATTTTCAAAACGTACGACCAGCAACGTGAGCAGTAAGCTTCATCATTTCTGAAAATTTCATTATCATAATTATTATTTGTTTTGTTATCATTACATTTTCTTATTTCAATCACTAATTAGGTGCAAGATTTTTTAAACTTTCCAAATTTTTTTAACAATACTAACGAAATTCTCGAATTATAGATTTTTTGAAGATATAAATATTCATGAAAAGAATTATACTTCATCTTCTTAAGGGTCATAAAATTTTTGAGCATTCCAAGATAATGTGACATGCAATGCACGTACCTAAAACATATCTGTACGAAGAGCGTGATAGCCCAGGTAATCTCGAGGAAGAAAATCATAGCAGACGCCACTCTGAAAATAAATAACACACGATATGTAAGACAAATCTAGTAAGGCGATTACAGTGCACGATAAAAAATCTGGTAATCTTATTACGTTCTTATGTAAGCATGATATATATCTACAAGTTTAAATTTTGCATAATACAATAATAATAACGGTGATAGATGATAGTTTTTGATAATCTAAAATATAATGGTTGTTGGAAATTCGATCCAGTTATATTTATCAGCGTTAATAATTAAATTATTGATTTAATGTTTTCAAGAAAAATTCTGAGTGATTGTTGTTTCACTTTTTCACATTACTTCAATCCGTAAAAATGATATTTAAAATTATTTTTTTAACTACATATGTTATTTCTTCATATTCATAGAAAAAAAAAAAAAAAAAAAAATTCCTATAAAAAATTCGAACTTTTCAACAAAGAAAATCTTTGAACAATTTAATTGGAAAAAAGAAAAACTTAAAATTTACATTTTTATTTTCATTTTCTGTTTTTTAAACTGTTTATTCTTACACAAAAAAATACGAAAAAAATTATAGAATTCGCAAGACTTATATGGGCAAATTTAATTAACGATTTTTGATTGACATGAAATTTTTATGTTTCTTTTTATAAACATCATTTTCACTGAAAAGTCATGAATTATTTTATTTATTCTTCGGTTAATGTATTTGACAAACTGGACGTGGATAGTGCATGAATCGATTTACAAGTGCATGTTGAATTATCCTCACGTAACGTAATAACCCATGATGTGTCGATGATAAGCCACATCTGCGCCAACTCCGCATACAACTGCAAAACAAACAAGTATACAATCAAATAGTATTATTTGCTCATCATATTTCAATTCATTATTATCAATATACATACATATACATATATAACATTACACATTCAATCAGTATGATAATTTATCGCTTAGAAATAAGTAATCAAATATTCATACAATAATTATGACAATGATTCAACCTCGACTTAAAATATCTTTGTTTTCGCAAAAAATAATTAAACTTTTTTCAGTCCTGAATTTATATTTATATGCTGATCGTGTGTTTGTTTATGATAATTGGTTCCGTGAAATAAAATAGTTAGATTTCTATGAAATCTACAAAAAATGTTGTTTATAAATTAGGACTTTTTGAAACATGAAATTTAGGCTATGGCTATTGAGTTTCAATAACATTTAGTAAAAATTTCTTTACAACAAGCGTCTCTTTAGCAGCGGGGAAAAAAGTCATTGTAAAGTTTCCAAAACTTAACATTACATGTAGTAATTCAGTCAACGGACTAAGAATTTTACATACATGTTATTTTGGCTGATTATATATAATAATTTATAAATTGCTCTTATTGCGGGATCGCGGGAATGTAACAGATTAAAATGAATGCATTTTCCAAACATTAGATATGTGAAGAACAAATTTAGTTACTTGTTTAAATAGAATCCGTAAAAAACATGTTAAATTTATTTTTTATAAAAAATTGATGTCACTGAGAAAATTTTAAATAACAGAAAAATAACAGCTAGTTATTGTTATTGAAGTAAAGCCAACGCTTTCTTTTTCTAAATAATTTGATGGTTCAAGATTATCTATCGTGAATAACATTTTTTTCTTCTCCAATCCTTTACAATAAATTATAAATAAAACAAAAAAATTATAAACAAATGAAACAAGTATCAAACCAACAAACGTAAAACATGCTTATCATTGAGATTATTGAAAAATTCTTGGAAAGAATTCTGTGAATAATGCATTAGGTATTTTTATTTCTGTTAACATATATATCCATCTTAGCATTAAATCCGAATTGGGTTACCTATTCCCCGAGGAAAGATACGTACGTAACAACCTATTTCAAATAAAACAAACCTCGAGATTCTGAGATAAAGTTTATTTTCAATTTATAAGTAAAAACCCGTTTTATTTTTCTTATGAATTTTTATTGAAAAATTACAATTTTTATTAACATCTAAATTAGCTGATCGACTTTTCGATGAATGTTACCCAACTTGACAAATCAGTAGTGTTGAAAAAGGTCGACATGCATTTCCGTCGCTCAATTAAAAATCCTTTTAGGTAGTGACCGTTCTTTCGGCGACACAGCAATGGGCTGGCCATCAGACTGCCCTGTAATTAATTTTATAAATTATTCAGTGGAAATTAATTGAACTTTTAAATATTTTAAAATTACTTGTTACTCCGCAAGCGAACTCAGATGTCTCTTGCAGCGCAAAACATATTGTTCCCGGATAAATTTAAATGCGAGTCGTGACAGAATTTATCTGAAATGATTCCGGTCAAAAATTGGTTGAAGCTTAGGCCACCTAAAAGTTTTTTTGTTAATGTCAATTTCCTAAAAAATTAATTCATAGATCTTTAATAAATTTTGAGCATAATAAACTTACCCTTTTTGAAATCATCTTTAAAGTAAAAAATAACACTATCATCTTGATAAATATCGTTCGAATTCGGCAGCTCGATCGGATCTAAATCAAGTGGGGTTTTAAGAACAACAGTCGCGAAATTAAGTCTTCTTTTGTGCTCAGTAAGCGGATGATTTATTACTTTAAAAACATCCTATCTTTTCAGAGAAGTAAACCCCACAATATCTGAATATTTATTTCAATCATAAGCCTGTACTTTGATTAAGCTCGCGGGGTTTATCCTGAAATTCAAAATTCAATTGACGAATTTACAAAAAAAAACAAATAACAATGCATTGATAAAAAAAATTAACTTGATTCAAGCGAGAAATTCTAAAACTAAGATTATCTTCAAAGAGTTTGATCATCGTAAATCAAGTGAAAAAATTCTTGAATTGAATTAAATTTATTGAAACCAAGAAAAATTTTTCTTGGCTTGGTTTGGAAGCGTGGTAGTCACTTTATACGTACATATACTATACTGTATAGCATAAGTATACTGCTTATAAGACAGCTATTATGCTTTGAGCTATAGTACTGCTTGTTTAAGTCAGTCATTATGCTGAAATTTCGGTGTATATAATCTATTATCAATGATAACTTAATAATTATTTACCAATGGACATATTGCTATGTTGTCATCATAGTTTTTGACATGATATTTTCGAGAATGTTCTATACCTGAAAAAACTTAAGTAAGGTTTTATTATTATTGATAATAGCTTATAACACGATGCCATAGTGTGATTTTGATCGCATTTTTATCGCTGAAATACCTTGCAGAGGATGACTGTTGGAATAAAAAATAATTGTTAATAAAAAATTCGTTGCTTTTAATAGTTGTTGTTTAAAATAAAAAAAAATAAAAAAAGAAATCTCTCCGGCGGGGAATCGAACCCCGGTCTCCCGCGTGACAGGCGGGGATACTGACCACTATACTACCTCTCATTGCCTAGAGGCAATGAGAGCTCCTGAGGATGTAAAACTCAGGGCCTTCAAAGCGCGAGCCTCACTTGTCGCTGAGTTCCAGTGGGAGGAGCGCAACGTCGAGATCTGTGCGGGTCCAAGGGTCACACTAGATACCAGCCTGCACCACAACCGCCCGGACATGGTGATCACACTCTCCAACCCGACTGAAATCTTCGTCCTAGAGGTCGCAGTATCTCACTTACAGAACATCCGGCTCCAGGAGCGCATCAAACGTGTCCGATATGAAGTCAACTCAACAATGGAAATCTCCGAGGCCAACCTGGAGGGGGTTCCACGAGGGGAAAACCTCATAGATGCGCTCCAGAGAAAACACAAGTGCCCAGCTAAGTTGGGCATCTTGGTGTTTGGGGCACTAGGTGAGGTACTGGACACTGATGAACATAAAAATAGTACGAGGATCTTGAAAAAACTGGGAATGACTGAGAGGAGAGTTAACATCATGTTATCTAACATCGCCGTGTCCGTGGCAAAAGCCAGCGCCCAGATCTTGCTGCAGAGAGTAAAGATGAAACACCAGGAAGAATGAACCCAGGGAGGCCATTCAACAGCGAGGATGCCATGGATGCCAACCAGCCGAGCCATAGAGGAATTTACCCCCCCCAAAAAACCCCTTAGTTTTCTTTTATACTGAGTGTAGAATGTTGATGATAATACTTAGAGTTTAAATCCCCACCCGTAATCCCCACAGGAATGCAAAAATAATCACTAAAATAAAAATTTGTAAACATATAGAGGCCAGTGAGGCTATGTATGCATACGTTGATAAATAAATATAATATATACTACCGAAGAATACATTGCCCGTGGCAGCTGAGTTACTAAATAAAGTAGACAAAACACCCCGGAATCGATATGACACATACTATTTAGTTAAAGTCAAAAAATTGTCTCTTTTCCTATTTTTTTAATTAAATTGTTTAATTAATCTAACTCTTTATCAATTACTTCAATTTTTAATTAGTTACTTTTAATTGTACAACTGAATTTTCGGACATGCAAGGAAGACTTCACAACACATCAACCGTGCTGGAGGCTTTGCCACCAACCAACATGGCTTCCGGAAAGGTAAAAAAAACAGCAACACAAGCATGGTCTGGTAGCCTCAAAGCTCGTAAAGTATGTTTTCTCCTCACACTAAACGTCAAAAACGCTTTTAACAGTGCAAATTGGGAAGATATTTTAGATGCTCTGAAGAACAAATTCGACGCGGAGCCAGAAAGTCTGGCAATAGTTGACAACTAACTTGATGAAAGAAAGCTAATAGTGGAAACTACGGAAGGCCACGATAATAGTAGACAGTGTAGAAGAGGCCTGAATCTTCGATTTTCTTAGCGAGAAGTTGAAATCATACTTGATCCGGGTCCACAAAAATTTTTTCATCTCTGTGACTGCAGTTTTTTGCCGTTTTTTTGGGTTTCTTGCAGTTTACTCAAAACTCGAGGGTGAGCGAGCCTAACGGATTTCAAATTCGGATTCAGCTGCTCGAAATACATGTTCGGAGGTGGGTTCGGTTCAAAGTAAAGACAACTTTTCTTTGTGTGCTGGTGTGATAATTGGAAATTTTAATTTCCGTTGATTGTTTTACAAAAATGCCGTGAAAAAGTTTTTTCGTGGATTATTATTATCATTGTTGAAAACAAATATAGATTTCAACTGACAGTAAAAAGTTATGAAATTCTTCATATATCAAAAAAAAAAAAGAACCTGAAGCTTTTGATTTCTCTTAAAAAGAACGACACATGTGTTGGCAATTTCGTCTACATATACAGTTGTACATGATAAAAAAATTCAATTTTATGTCTATTGAAAAGCGCTTGACATTTTTTTCCTATATACAATTTTATAAATAAAATTTCAATAAAAATTAATTTTAAATTTAGATACATTTTTATAATAAATTATATTTACCACTCAATATAAACGTTTCAAATAGCGGCCACAAAAGTTCAATAAATTTATTCGAAAATAATAAAACTTAATAGTTATCGATAACTCAATTATAGACAAAATGGTCATTTATAATAATAATAATAATAATAATAATAATAATAATAATAATAATAATAATAATGCCATTAAGAGGAAATTTATTACGTAAGGTTGGCGATATTTTGGTATCGCCAAAAGAGCTTCGGTGCGATGAATTGAAATTTTAATGATCCATGAAGTTGATTGAAGTTAACCGCGTCAAAATATGCAAAAGTACTTGTTATTTTCGGCTTTTAAATTAACTTGTCGGGTTAATTTGCAGAATAAAGTTATACATGATTATAACTCGTTCATGTATATGTATATATTTACACGTTAGCTATCACTAGAAGTTCGGTTCTTCTCCTCAAGTTGTTCTTTATAGTTAAATAAATAAAATCCAGGAAGTTACTCTTTAACAAACTTTTCGTACACGTAATTTTGTCTAAACAATGTTATGGCACTTTTTTTTTTTTTTTTTTTTA